TTAATTACAATATCGAGACAGTGAGGAAGCAGTCTACTGCACACAAAATCGATAAAAGGAACATTTATGTAATCAGACAATTATCTAGTGCAAGGGACCTTCAAATTCAAGCTGAAAGCCTTCAAAGACACTGAAGATACATAACTATTCAAGCTCCACATTCAGAATTTGAGAAATGAAACTACGTTCACTGCAGTCACCACAGCAAAGGTGGAGACACTATGCTGCATCACCAAGGAAACCTGTGTGGAAGGAGACTAGAACTCTCTGAAAATGATGTTCAAAGAACCGTTTCATGAAGGAGGAAGAGGCACGACAAGAAATGGCTTACCATGGACATCTGGGAGCTAATAGAGAGCGGTGAAACAGAAGATGAAACAATGCAAAGACACATGACGCAAGGAGAAGTTCAGTTCAACCTACAACCCAACCATACGACACACTGGAAACTGAAGCGGACAATCCCAAAGTAAGAGAGACCTCAGATTATTACATCAAATAACCAAGTCGTTATCGCAGAAGATATCAACATAGATGAAACCAATGGAAGATAGAGAAGGGAACTTAAATTACCAAAGAGGAGGAGCAAAGGAAACAATGGGCTGATCAGTTCAGGGGACTCTTTAACCGAGCACCACCTACAGGTGGTTCAGAAATACCACCAATAGCAGGCACAGAACTGCCAGTGGACACCAATCCTCCAACAAAAGCAGAGGTTTTCGACACCATAAAGCTAATGAAGACCAAGAAGGCAGCAGGAACAAACTGAATTCCTCCGGAAGCATTAAAAAGGGACCACTGAATGCATCGCTCGCCAGGCCCACTAATGGAATACGAATGGGAAATGGCGAGTTGAGAGTCCGGGGATGACAAGTTGAAGATCGTATGAGGCGGAGATAACAGCTTATGGGCAATCGTGTAGCCCGTCATAAACGACTACAAAGAACAGGGTAATATGGAGATGTGCTGTTGAAGCCCAATGTTCCCCTGAAATTTAGTCGAACTGAGGTTAAATTGAAGTTTCAGATGGTGAAGTGGATAGTTTTCAAGCAGTTTTGCATATCACTTTGTACGATTGTCACACAGTCACCAGACTAGTGGGAGCGAAGTTCAAACCTAATGTATGAAACTCTAATTACTTAAGCCTATGAGTGACATTTCCCCCTCAGCCGACATCAATATCCCTCACACAAAAAGTGTGTGGCTCCTAGACTGGTAAGTGAAATGTCTGTTCCGGGCAGCAGAGTTCAATAAAAACAGATTCCCATATGGATCGGTCCAGAATATATAGGAAACAAGCAAAAAGTGTCCAAGAAGGAAACTGCTATAAACGGAAATATGTGAGAGCGGAAGCATAATTACATAGACAATGATTAACACTTAATAAGTCTGGAAGATCGAATATAGTGCATGTATCTGTACCGGACTACTGACTATTACCATTGATACTTAACGGTTCGACAACCCTTCCAATCAGACAGTCTAGACATACCTACATAACTGAGACTAACAGCCACTTGATAAAAAAACCGTTAAAACATCTTTTAAAATCGTAACATTTAGACTGATCAGCAGAGTTGTTGCCACTTAAATACATTAGAGAGTTAATAAAGTTTAAACAAAGTAGAAACAACAAATGTTTGTGCAGAATATGATGTAAGGCCATCATTTATTTCGTCAATGAGATGCTCACTAGCGACTGGCCCTATTCAGGTTCAGGAACCTGAGTTCTACTGAGAAGTCGTAACCAGTAGAGTGCAGCAGGTCTGGCATGAGGACATATACTCGCCAGCGATGACATTTGCTAGTGGTCGCGCTACAACGTGAATTAGTAGAAGTTGGAATCCATGGGCTAGCCATTGGATCGGGTCCCAGTGGCTTAATGATCTGTGAGCTCACCTTGTAACCAGAAGGTCCTGGGTCGGAACCCTGGTTGGTGCGTACTGTGAAGAGTCTCAAACCAGGACGAAGCAGCTGTCCAATACTCCCTGCAGGTTTTCCAATGGTTCTCTAACCGATGTCAGTTCATAATGAAATCGTGTAACCAATTTATTTCGTCTTCGGATCCTCTTCATCTGTTTAAAACCCAAAAGTTAATTATTTTTAAATGTACATAGAATTTATTCATACTTGCAAGGATCAACACGATTTTTTTTAACAGAGACACACATGTTAATAAACAATGTTCCGGAAGTTCCCATTATGTGACTTATGAAGGAGATCAATGTTCACACAAAATACAAACATACATGTACGACACGTCCCCATGATACCTATACTTTCTATGGTAAACTTACCTCATCACAAAGCTCGTCATCGGCTTGCAGAGATGCTGGAACCTATTCATCAACGACTATCTGCGTATACAGTCACAGATTCAATCCATTTTGCTGAAATAGTGAAAAGTATAAAGGATTCCAACAAGTTCATTGTATAATTAAATGTACCCCTCTATGCACAAGGATTCTATTTCATGAAACTGTCAATATTATATGCCACTATTCCAATTTTCTCCCTTTGCAACTGGAGGAATTTACACGCCTACTACAAATGTGCACTATGGATGTACAATTCCAATTCGATAACAACCTCCATTGTCAAACAGATGATGTAGCTATGGGCAGTCCATTAGTCCCCGTATTTGCAGATACCTTCATATCTAATTTTGAGATAACAAAGCTGAAAAGTGTGACCGACGAGACAACCTCCAATTGTCGATATGTTGACGACACCTTCATATTATGTTGTGGTGAAAACCGATGCATCTTGTCTACTGCAACTGTTTAATAACTCACATGAGAATATTGACTTCGCTTACAATGACACACGAAGTTGTTGGAAAGTTCCATTTCCTCGATACTGCCATACAGTGCTTCGAAGATGACAGTCTGCAAAAATTCATTCACGCAAAATCCTTGTGGAATAGAATACACTTAAGTTTCAATAGTTTACTGTCTTATCAGCCACAAACGAGCATTAGTCAAAACTCTTTTTCACGTAGCCAGAAGAATATGCTCCACAGAAAAACACTGGACCAAGCACTCCTGAACATTGAGAAAGTTTTGCAAAGTTATGGTTATCTTCCGAAATTCATCGGACACTATGGAGGATCTATTTTGTTTGAACCTTGCTCTCCTTCATAAGTTATGTAAGTGGAACTTCTGAACATTGTTTATTCACAAAAATCATGTTAATCCTTGCAAGTATGATAAGATCGGACATGCATTTACAAAATCAACTTCTAGGTTGTAAACAGCTGAAGAGAACCCCATGACGCAATGAACGATGGCCTCATATCATATTGTGCACAAACATTTGTTTCCTTTTGTTTTGTTTAAATTCATAAATGAGAATAAATTTATGAGATTATTAAAGTGTCCATTGTGATATTTTTTATGCTTTTAATCGTTTCCATTTCGATTGGAACATCGAGGTTTCAAGCTTATGCCTTGAAGTTTCACTAGAACTGATGGTAATTTTTCACAAGGTGGGGGGGGCTGCTAACCTCACGCCCAACCTTCCCTCTTTCTTTTTTTATCGGGCTTACTGTTGGGTAATCAAGCGCTAAGGAAGTACGTCCGCCGGGGGTCATAGCTCGAACCGTATGAGTGGTTGGTGAGTATTATACCGCTGATGCAACCATTGTGACGTAGATCGCAGAATACGTTTCCAAAGTTTCATATAATTTTCAACTTATACTTCTTTCTTTTCTCTTCATTGGCTCCTCCTTCCCCCCCCCCCTACATCATACCACTCTACTCCAACACCGCCCGCCCCCATTTAGCTATCAAAAATATAATGTACAAATTTCAACATTACAAATTCAACCAAGATCAAATTGAACACCTTCAATCAATCTATTTATTATCATAAAAAAACAAAAAGAAAGAAAAGAAAAATACCAATAAATCAATTGCGATGATGATGATGAAAAGTATTCTCAATCATGTGTGTATGTGTGTGTGTGTGTCTGTGCGTGGGTGTTCTTTTAGTTGCTGTTCTATTATATGAACATTCAAATGTACATTAGGTAGAAACACAGATAGCCAAGAAGTCAATTAAACAAAAAATAATCAACAATATACAAATAAATTGAAAAAAAAACTTATCAACACAAACACTGAAGAACAAGAGACAATATTGATAAATAACAGTAAGGTGAGAAATAAAAAGAGACGTAAAAAGGTGTATGAATCAGTCAATCGATCAGTCAATCAATCAATCAATCAGTTAAGAAGTGTAATGCCTCTGTTTTTCCACTCTGTTTTTCATCATTATTCCATTGTACATATAATTAGAATTTTATCATCATCGTCATCATTATTGTTGTTATTATTAGTATACTACTAACTAAAATTAACAGTAGTAGATGATTTTTCGTTGTAAAAAATATTAATAATCATAATTATCGTACAGTAATACATAAATAAATAAATAAATACTATTAAGTGTTTCTCAGTAGTTAAACGGGACAAATGAGAAGGACAGGAATACCAATCATTATTATTATTATTCTCATTACTTTTCTAGTAGAAAAGAAAACCCCAAAGTGAAGGATTTTAAAGACAAACTACACATGAAAGACATGAAAGACAAACACAATAAATGTGTGTCTGTGAGTGTGTGTGTAAAAAACAGTTAGAACAGACTCAAACAATGTTGTAATCGGTTACAACAGAACAAGAAATAATTTACATACATACATATATATAAACAGAGAAGATACTTATGAGAAGACAGTGTGATTCGTTCCATCAAATTTATCTTATTGATTATTACTATTCCGTAGCGTTTAAATGTGTCTCTGTGCATGTGTATGAGGGTGTATACATGAGATTCATTCAATCTTTGGTGTACGTACGCATCTGTATGCTTAGGCATTTCATCACTGCACTACTGCCATTCCACCTCATTTTATATTATCATGGCTAAGCTATTAGTGGTAGTGTATCTTAGCTGAAAATGGAGTTCTGGTCAAATCACAATAATCATGATGACGATAATAATAATAAAAATAATATTAATAATGATAATAATTACTACCCCTATTTGCCAATGTATATTCTTGTGATGTAATCCATCTTGTAGAGTGAGAGAGAGAGAGAACAGAAATGCATAGCTCAGCTATTGATATTCATTGCTGAGAATCCACTGGTCAGCTTGTAGTCTTTGGCATCCTTCATCACGGACTCATTACTCTCCTTCATATTGTCTTCTCTTTTACTATTACTATTATTATTGTTAGTAGTAGTTGTTGTTGCCGTTGTATCATGACGACTGTTAGGCGGTGGATAGGTGGAATTAGTAATACTCGTGGGAGTGTTAGTGTTCTCTAGATTGGTAGTATTATTATTATTGTTAGTGTTAGTGTTGTTGATACCATTTTCTTTGCTAACTAAGTAGCTTAATACCAAGTCACCTGATTGTTTCCAGTAGAAGTAACGAGCACTGCGTAAATTCATATTTGGATCGAGACACTAGAAAAGTTGAAGCAAAAACAAAATACATAATAGCGAAAATATTCATTCAGACATCTAGAAAAAGATAAAAAATAATTGAGCAAAGAATATCCTTTTCGATAAATTCCTCCTCTTCTGGCTCTTCTGGAGGATTTCACTATGAGCTGACATCAGTTGGAGAACCCCTGGAAAACCTACAGGGAGTACTGGACAGCTGTTTCGTCAACATAGTTTGTGACTCTTCAGCAGTATGCACCCACAGATAGGGTTCGAACCCAGGACCTTCTGGTTACAAGGCTAAGGAGCTCGTAGACCATTAAGCCACTGGGACGCGATCCAATGGCCAGCCCATGAATTCTAACTTCTACCAATTCACGACATAGCGCGACCATTTCGCAATGTCTTCTTCGATGAGTTACTGCCTCATCTTCAACCTGCTCAATGGTCTACGAGGTCGCCTCGTAACCAGAAGGTCCTGGGTTCGAACCCCATTGCCGGGTGCGTACTGATGAAGAGTCCAAAACTAGGACGAAACAGCTGTCCAGTACTCCCAGGGGTTCTCTAACTGATGTCAGCTCATGATGAAATCCTCCATCCAATCAAACTAAATCCCTAGAAAACCAATACTTGAATATATATATATATATATATATATATATATATGTTTATGTACATAGAATATTCTAGAATAGTAGTCAATAACAATATTGGCGTTTTTTTTAAATAATACCGATTTGTAAAGTAAGATCACAGTGGAATTACAGTTCATTAAAGATGCTTAAATTATAATAATAATAAAGATATAATAGCAAATAGAATATCAACTAAAATTAAGGAAATTTCTACAAAAAATTGAGGATCATTCGAACCTAGATGGTCAAGGTAAGGACAATGTCTGAACTAGCTTCTTTTGGACACATAAATTAGGCTTTTTAATGTGGATCCCAACTGCCAGCCTCAGTAATATTTAGTAGTCGAACTCTTAAGGCGAAATTGAGATTTGTTGGTATGCGGAAATCGACTTTGAAAGCCACCTCGTTAACATCAATCAATCTTGTGTTCTGTATCCACAAGATGGGATAGAATAGAGCTATGCATGGATTTTATTTGTCCTTTACTTAACCGCCATGCAGAGTGATGTTCAGAAATCCGACGAGAAACACGCCTAATTGTACGGCCTATGTAACTGGCTCACTCCACAGGAGCAGTTAAATTGGTAGATACACATGGAAGAGGCGAAATTAGGCATTAAAAGTTGTATTTATTTAAAGAAGATTAGTACCGACAGAGGCCTAACACCTTGGTCCAATCGGTAAACGAGAAAAACCAAAATAAATAACAGTAGCTGATACCCAATACACAAAGGCGGTGGTTTTCGGGGCCCAAATTGTCTACTGAATAACCCCACTTTGGTGTTTGAAACTATGGATACTGTGTTCGAGCCTCACTCACTCACTAGGGAGTGCAGGTACATCCGGCTGGTAAGTTATTCCCAAATAGGACGAAATGCTCCTCCTGATGGATTCCATATACACACCTCCCTCAAAAACAAAGCCAGTAAGGATGCAAGCTTACATTAAAACTGATCCTTAACATATAATTAAAATATCGCTAACAACCCTGTAAAAGACTAAGTGTAGTATATACCTGATCTCCACACCATATTTCAATAATATTCTCAGGATTAGGATCACCGGATGCAGCTGCAGCCATTATTCGAGCTAAATCAACTTGTAGTGTTTCTGGAGGAAGATTCAAAGGTGCCATTACAGGTGTTTGAGGATCAGATGTTGTACCACAATTGGAGGAGGAGGATGATGAGTTGGCCGTAGATGATTTTGGCGGCATTCCCTGACCTCCTGTTTCATCATGTTGTCCTAGATAAAAATAGTAATAACATTACTAATAATAACAACTAATTTTGATAGCCTGAGGTCAAATTTTGATCACAGTTCGTATTAAAGATTTTGTTTTGTTTTGTTTATTATACATGTTGATGCCTGTTTCGGGATTCACATGACAGGACAAACAATTTAAAAACAAGAGATGTACTTTCATATATAAACATACTATTTTATTAATTTATTTATCAAACATGTTGATGCCTGTTGCATGACTCATGATTGGACAAAATTGAAAAACATGAGTTGTTCCTTTTATATATATAAACCTGTTTATTTTAATTCGATTAATTTCCCTGAAGAAGTTCGGACCAGATTACCGAACGAAACGTTGGAATTAATCATTTCAATTTCGCTGAGATTTTACAAATATAATTTTATAAATGACTATTTCTCACTCAGCGCTCAATTATTTTGCAACTATCCGGTCAAATCTTGATCACAGTTCATATGAATAACAACTAAGCTTCCAATAATACGATATTATACTGATTCAACAAGCGTTTTATCCAGTTGTCATCGAAAGGAATGATGTACAAATATAAATTTTGGTAAATGATACCACCATAGTTACTTACAGAATGGGATCACGTGATCAACAGTTTTCGGCCTTTCTCATTCACACATTCATTCTATTCTAGGCAACGCTGAACAGCAGTAACCCAAATAAAGGAGCCAAGTAAACGGACGTTATCACCTCCATCGACCAATTAGATGAGGGCGTATTAAATACGCAAAATAGAACTCTTTTATAAACATCAAAAGTTAGTATTACGAAATAGTTATAGAGGGTAACTTCCTCGTATGTGCCGTAAAGTAAATCTCCTGATTCCTTACTGAAGCCTTTAGTGGTAGTCCAAACCTATTTGTGTACACTGAATTCATCCACATAACTGTGTATCATGCTGTTTCGTGACACATTCAGTGCTCTACAATACCCATGAAGCTAAAAAAAGGAACGACATATCTTCTCGGACAGATTTTCTCTAACGATAACCTGGATATTAGTACACATATCCGTCAACAGTGGCTGCATACCTCTGTAAAGACATTCCTTCCACATCTAAAAGCTTCATGTCGGTGTATTATCCCGATAGTAATCAAATACTACCTTTTGGTGGAATTTGCGACGCCATTCATGTACTGTATCGATTTTTTGGCGTTTTTAGTATGCGCTCATCTGATTGGTTGATCAAGGTCATTATATCCATCGTTTACTTGAGTCCTTTGTTTGGTTCGCTATTGTTTAGAGTTACTCTACTCTAGGTTGTCTTCCATTCTTTCGATTCTGACAGGGCCGGTAATACGACCTAGCCGGCTGCGAGATATACGAACCTGATGAGCCAACAAAAACTATACTAATCACAACGTTACCCACAGCAGATACCATTGACATGCGAAAACGACAGGGATGACGGACAGTTGGCAAAACCATTTTTAATAATGTCAAAACAGGAGTGGAAACAGTCGATAGCCATGCTGAATATATAGGTCTTAAATGATGTTTGAGATGCGTCATAAAGAGCATCTCAAACAAACTACAGACCTTCACTAACAGTTGTCTTCGCTCAATACTCAAGATCAGATGGCCGGCCAGAAAAGGTCAGCAACAGAGATCTCTGGCAATGAGCGAACCAACCAGGAACCGATTGTGAAACAAATAGGCAGGAAGAAATGGAGATGGATTGGCCATACTCTGAGGAAACCATCAAGCGAGTGACATCACTAGACAAGTCATTGCTCGAGTGGAACCCGAAAGGGAAGCGGCGAGTTGGTCGTCAGTGCAAAGGTGACTTGGAGGAGGTCATGTGAAGAGGAGATGAAAACGTGTGGGCAGACATGGAGCCAGATGAAGACTCTAGCAGAGAACCGAACGCAATGGAGACGCACGGCTGAAGCCCTATGTTCCTGTAGGAATTAAAGGAAACAACTATCAACCAATTAGAGAGAGTGAAACTGTCACAAATACTGGGAAATACAAAAGACATCCCGCATGTGCAATAACTACAAAATATAATAGTTCTTTTAAAGATACAGACAAATTTAGGAGATATATATAAAGCAATGAGAGAGTAAAAACACGTGAACAAATCCAATAAGCATACAGATAGATTTTTTGACCAAAAAAATCGAAATACTCACCTGATCTAGGAGATGGTGGATTCGATAGTGTACCATTAGTTGTTAATGTATCCGCTAGTTTATACAATCGTTGAAATACATGCTCCATTACTTTGCGGATTAAAAGGACATCATTAGCAGCTAATGAATCTCTTTTCAACGAATTCATTGGTACTACACGTCTAGTCAAAGGAGAAAAAGCCAGAAACCACAATGTTATTGGTGAAAATGCTTACTATACCAAAAGCAATTAATAGATTAAAATTAATAAGGGAGAAGGTTTGCACAGTTCAGGTGAATTTTTTAGCTGTGGTTGTAATCTCTAAGCTAAATGATTTAACTGCGATAGTGAGTTTCCGTTGGTGTGTTGATTAGAAAAGGAAAGACGTGTAGTTTAGAGGGGAGATAAAAGCTCCGCAATTAAAAACCGATACCACAACCACACCATAATGATTGAAATTGTGATTGTGAACTTTCCGTCAATAAATCTGAGATAAGACTGAACGCGTGACGTAGATTCTACTGCTAGCTACCATCATCAACCAACTGATTTATGTATGTACAGAAATCATGCGCCGTATATCTCTACAAGATTTTAGCATTCAGTGAGCAGAGATTGATATGTGATAGTGTGCTTCATAACAAGGAAACCTGGGTCCTATTGATTTTCATATGGCTTATGAAACTATAATAAACTGATTATATCATAAACCAGCCACAATTAAAAAAGCACTAGAAACCAGAGAGTATTGAACAGCTCTTTCGTCGTTGTTTGGAACTCTTCATCATTACGCACCCGTGACCTAACTGGTTGCCGAACCTAAGACCTTCAAATTACGAGGCGAGACCATTCGGTCAACGTGATGTACTAAAATGGCGCGTTTGCTAATATGACGCTTCCAATAGGCGATGTCATTTATTACTATTATTGTTCCCTTAGTTTCTGAGTGGGACATAGTGCTTCAGCAGCACATCTCAGCTCTGTCCTACTTTCTCAGGCCCTCTTTACCTGACCACACAATTGACCATAGTCTCTCATCTCCTTCTCGAAAAACCTCCTCCATATCCCTCTAGGACTCAAACTCAACTTGTCGTTTTCCCTTCGGGTTCCACTCAAGAGATGTCATGCAACGGTCTCCTCGGTGTCGTGTGTTCGATCCAGCTCTATTTTCTTCAAGATATTTTTTGAGCGATAGGTTCTCAGGTATTGTTCATTGCCAGAGTTTCTTGTTCCCCGCTAATACTTTCTGGCTGACCATTTCATTTTCAATATTTGGAGCCAGTTGTTCATTAGACTGTGCAGTGGATCGTTGAAGATGCCTTTAAAAAGGCGCACGCCAAGTTTCTCACCGAATTTTTTTCTTTATGCTGGTCGAATGTGCAGGAGATTTCCAAACTGATTTCACACCAATGAAGGTCGGTATGTCTTCTCTTTTCGATCATCACTGACTTTGACATCCTTATCAGTGCTGTCGCCTGTAGTTGAAACGATGCTTCCTGACCAGATAAGTGAAGGAAGTAACCTTTTTCAGATTTATCCCATTATTATTAATTGGCCATACTCTTAGGAAACCATCAAGTGACATCACTAGACAAGCCAGTGCTTAAGTGGAACCCGAAAGGGAAGCGGCGAGTTGGTCGTCAGTGCAAGGGTGACTTGGAGGAGGTCATGTGAAGAGGAGATGAAAACGTGTGGGCAGACATGGAGCCAGGTGAAGACTCTAGCAGAGAACAGAACGCAATGGAGACGCACGGCTGAAGCCCTATGTTCCTGTAGGAATTAAAGGATACATTAATAATAATCATTATTATTATTAATTGGTGCTTGTCGTTGTTGCTGTTGTTGTTGACTGGTTATTTGGATCGTCTCCATCTTCTCTATGTTTACTTCAAGTCCTGTCTTCGCTGCCTGCCTCTTCTGCAAACTTGTTGCTTTTCGCATGTAAGTCATCGATTTTCTGTGATATTAGACATAAATAGTCCGCAAAGTTCTTCTAGATCTTCTAGAGTCTTCTAATCGGTTCAGTATATTTCTGTCTTATCGCTTCTACGCAGTCTTCTGGACAATCAAGTCCACAACAATTAGGAATATGATCATCAGTGGTAGTAGTAGGCAGTCTCGTCTTACTCCTTTATTCAATGCAAACGTTTCGGTAAGTATTTCGTGCCATTGTCATATATAGCTGTGTTTACTAAAGATTTGGGGCACGCCATAATGTTGTCATATCAAACATATATAAACATTACCTACACTGATCATATGTCCTACTTGATTAATAAAGACAAAACAGATTTATACTAATTTATAAACTAAGCTATCAGTTTGCGCCAGACAATACTATAAAAAAGTCCAGCTAAACTTACTTTCTAAATGTTGACCAGGCACCATAGAAACAGCACCTAAAATAGACTGGAATTCAATGAGGCAACAAGTTTCGTAGTGAAACTGTATGAAGTGTATTATCCTCTACTTTTGAATAAACTAGGAACTCTGAACTGCTTTAATAATTAATTACACCATTGGCCTATATGAAAACTATTCACAACTGAGATTTCCACCTTTTCCCCATAATCATCTAAATGTAGGATGTTTATTGACCAAAAATCAATTGAGATGTCAGTAGCGCACAGCGCTTCACACCTTTAGTAATTTATTACTATCGGACTTTCTTTCTTGCGTTTATGGGACTCTACATTCATTTTAGGTACAGTATAGTTGAATGTACGCGTAGCTGCCTCCTATTGGTCCTGAAGATGTGGTTCCATTGGCTTAGGCACTCAACTTTTAATTTAATGCGCCAAGGGTTCGAATCCCATCCGACCCACTTCAACTTAGGCGGATGAGAATTAGTATCACACTTGTGCGTCGGTGGCACAGAGGTTAGGACTCTTGCCGACCATACACATGGTCCGGGGTTCGATCCCCGGCTGACGCAAACCTGTGGTCGACTTGCAAAAATTTGGGCTACCGATTTCACATGCTGCGAATCTATACATGTACCAAAAATACTGTGTGGAATCAAGCTATAATCAAAAAAGAATAAGTGTAGCGCTTACGAGCGAAAAATCTCCAGGTAATTAAGTCTTTAAGAGTAACAACTATTATCGGTTCAACTTATTGGAAGCGGACATGCAACACAGATAATTTACAACAAACGGTTAAAAATGTGTAATGTGAAAATCAACAAGCGCCAAAACAGAAGTCAGGCAAGTACTTACTGTTGTCCTTGATTGTCTACTTCGATGACTGCAGGTACCAGACAAAATGCTATACGCACAGGTTTGGGCAGCTTACACTGTAAAAAGTAGGACAAAATATACTATGAGAGTTAAACACCACAAGTCCAGTTATGTGAACATCTAAAAACGTTGTCAGTTTTTCAAGAGTTTGCTTATAAGAATTTCATTCGAATTTCAAGTCTGATCACGGATGGATATAAGTTAAAGAACCATTGAAAACCAGTACTCGAGTACTGGACAGATGTTTTGTCAGCCAGTACCCACCAACCCCACTGCCAGGGTTCGGACCTAGGACCTTCCGGTGACAGGTCAAGCTAGCTCGTAGATCATTCAGTCACTGGGACCTGACTCAATGGCCAGCCCATGAATTCTAACTTCTACTGATTGGTGATTTTAGCCAAATTGCCATCGCTTGTAAGTATTTGTCTCCACTCCTAACCGATTCGCCCCCCAATGGTGGTCACGACTTCTCACTAGAACTTCAACTGATCCAATTATCAATCTACACCATTCAATCAATGCTACCTTAAACTCTCATGTACTTTCTAGTCACAACTTTACTCATCGATAATTCCTCCTTTCATCCTTGAAAACAGGGCGAAATTTTTAAACTTTCAGAAGCCTTAATGAATCGACTAATCCTGATCCTTAAATTAATGATCCATATGCGCTCTGGGATTCAGGAACAATGCATGTTACACAAATACACAACTTTACAAACGTTTTACTCAATTAAAAACTGAGCTTACAGCAAAGGATTCCATCTAAATAGATTTCCTCAGGTAACCAAAGTTTGCGTGAACAGTATCCCGCAAATTATGCACAAATAGTGGAAGGATCTGTTTCAGTGATTCAACCACGCATGTGACTAGCGGATTCAAATCTCCTAGTCATTGCACTCCTGACCAACTTCGTTTAGTTTGCCAGCCGATAGATATTAGGGCTGGAAAAGAGTAAAGGTCAGGTGCGTAGACAGCGACCCCACATCTGCTGAAACTTCGAGACTTAAAGTCCCATGTGCTACTCAGAACCCATAGAGGAAAGATTACAACGTACACCTCTGAAGCTTTCGTTTAATCTTGTTCGCTTTCAAAACTATTTAAGTACAACTAGTAGATTTCCGACTGACTTTTGTTGAGCTACAGTTCAAATGCTTCATGTTGACTGTCTTGATGGGATCCATCCACGGTGACACCATAAACCAACTGACAGTCACCCCATATCTATAACATGTATATATATACCAAATACTTGAAAAGCGATAGATGAAATATATTTCCAGTCCCCCAAAAAAGCAAAGCAAGACTTACGAAATTAGCATAGACAACTTACAGATTCTACAATTTCCATAATCCATTTCGGCTCTGGACTACACCGACGTAATCGTACACTGAATGATGAAGCATCACGAGCTAACAATCGATCAAGTGGTCGACCACTACCGTCACTATAATCAATGAAAATTATTATGATTATTATTATAATTATTATTGTTAATACCTTAGTATGATTGGAGTATGTCCAGGAATTTCTAAAATTTGATCCGCAGCTAGTTCATTACGGCCTAAAGGGGAACATCAATTGTAAAAAGAACAGTATTATGCATAATTAAAGGTAATAAATAACCTTGTAAAATAGTACGAAGGAAAATACAGAGAAAACCACACAGTTGGCTGAATTATTTAAGCTGAGGAAAGAGTCGAATCTCCAGAAGTTGAACCAATGAATAATAATAATAGCTTCATTCGAAACAGTGTTTTAGCAAAACAATGGAGTTTTCAGCATAAAGTACAGTATTACTGCGGAATGTTGACGTGGCGGGAGGATGACGGAAGCTGCTTAGCAGTAATACCTCAATGGCTTCGCCAAGAGATGACACAGGAATGTCACCAACTAGCTCACACAGGTGTTGCCCGAACGAACGATCTATCCTGCGACAAACAATGTACTGGCCAGGTATGAAAGGAGACGTCGAGAAGTACGTAACAGCGTGTACGCAATGTCAGCTGATGAAAGGTGATCAGTATATACGACCGTCACCACAGTCGATTTCAGTGTCAGCTGTAGGCGACCTGTGGTCCGTAGATGTAATGGGACCTTTTCCACAAACGTCCAATGGCAATCAATATCTTCTGGTCATGACAGAACATGCCACACGATGGCTAGACGCAGTCGCGATCCCTGATCAACGCGCAAAAGCGGTCACAGAAGCAGTGGTTCGACATATCGTTGCAAATCACAGTGAGCCAAAAGCGATATTGACAGACCAAGGTCAGTGTTTTCAAAGCGGAGATTAAAATTCCGCTGCAAGAGTTAGGTATCAAGAAAATTAGAACAACGGACAGAAATAAACGCACCCTGAAAGAGTGGCCGGCCACAAAGGGCGGCAACTGGGAGACAGAGCTTCCACTGATTCTGCTGACACATCGTGCGTCCGCACAAGAAACGACGAAGAAAGCACCGTTTCAGTTGATGTATGGAAGGAAACCACAACTACCGATACATAACAAGACCTGGCACCTCCATCAGCAATGGAGTATGACGAGATGGCGGACGGAGCGGAAAGAAGCCATCAACAACGTAAAACGAAACCAGAAAGTGGACGCTGTCAAAGCTGAACAGAAGGTAAAGGGGAAGTACCCCGCATTCAAGATCGGAGATCAAGTCAAATGTAGAGATAGGCGAAATACCGGCGGATACGTGTCAGGGTCACGAAAACTGCTACCAAAGGGGTACTGTTCAATATGAATACGAGTATTAAATTAAATTAAATGAAAACATTAACAGTAGTACAATAATGGAAAAGACAAAAAAAGGCCGTTTACTTAGTGTTTCGCAGTAAGTTGGTAGTATTCCACCTTGCATTCTTGTCATCATATAAAATGTGTCCCAGCCAAATACGGTATTGTAGAGTTTTTATACTTAGTCGTCCGAACATATAGTCTTCAAAAAGTTGCTACTACTACTACCTGATGAGACAGATGCAAGGAGAGAGTCGTGTATGGAGAGGACGCCCAGAGTCTGACAAGATAATATTCCCTAATGTTTTGCAGCAGTCCATGTGTCTATTTACAACAACGGTGTTAACGAATTGGTTTAGCAACACTCCACTCGCACTACCAACGACAGCTTTTAGTGCCCTTCGCAGTATGACAAAGCAGTCTTTCTTAAGTAGCCCAGGAAAGATTAAGGGTAGGACAGCAGTAAAGAAGTAAATACAGAACACAAGAATCAAGTTTTATAAAAAAAACAGGCACCCACATACACACTGAGTACATACCACTGTCCAGATTATTATTTCCCGAAGCAACAGGTAACCGACGTGCGAACAATGATCTGAGTAGCACAAAACCATAATTAACTGAAAAGTAGAAAAAGAGAGGAAAGCAAAATCAACACATTAGATACTGAATTTCAACAACATGATGTTGAAATATCAAAGCTCAGGAAACATTGAAATAATTACCACCTTTCCTTTTACCCGCTAATTAACCACTAGTGGATTGACGTTCTCACTTATGCTTTATTGATATAAGTATAAAACTTAGGCACTACGGTCGAGTATAACTCCATTATAGATAAGATTTTATTTTGATAAATCACACAGTGTTGTTATACAGTAATATTTACTGATGACCACGTTTCGAGCACAAATTATTGCCACTCATAATCATATCAAGGCACTACTCACACAACTTTTTTGCTTCATTTATATACCAGAGATATGGAAGATATTATTACCACCAGCCAAATCAAAGGAGGATAATAAATAATCTTAAAATTTATTTGAATTCACAAGTTATTTACTTACTTTCTAATTATTATAATGATTGCTTACTGGGTAGCAACCAGATTCACATCCTAAGTATTTTTGCTGACTGAATTTTAACAGACGAGTTTCCAGTGTGATTACCAACCTGAAGGACTCGTTATTGTGGTGCGCATTTTGAATGAACGTGTTACATGGAGTTCAAGCTAATGTCACGGGTAATTTTCTAGGGCATAGGTTCCGTGCTTATTCTACACAGCCTTGAGGAACTTGATATCCCGTTTCAGAATTGAACCTGTATCACCACATGCTGTAGTCAGAAGCATTTGGACTGAGACCAAGAACCTTGCACAAAAGTACAGAAGTCTAAGTTGCCATACTCCATATGTGAAAATAGTTCACAACTTATGACTGTCGCCCTGCAGGAGTGTAATAATGACTACACCCACTGACTACTGGTGAGTAACCAGTGGGTTATGGGGTTTCACATCTTCGGGACGGCATCAATTCCTTCAAGACTGCATATACAACATGATGACATTTGCCGACAAACATGAAACGTAGGTCAGATCAAGGGCTTTCTGTCGCCTAACATTAATAATTATTATTTATTATTGTTTCAAGTTTGATCACGGATCGATATCAGTTAGAGTACCATTGGAAACCAGTACTAGAGTACTGGACAGTCGTTTCGTCCCAGGTTGAAACTCATCATCAGTACACACCCACCGCGTACGATGATTATAGAAACACTTATGGGTAAATGAATAAGTGCGTCATATCTTGTTGATATAACTACAAACTTTGTACAATATAGCTAACAATAAACTAGTCACAAAATGACACATAACCCGGGACGGCTCCCTAGGAGTTTGTCTTGAATCCTTATTTGCACGATTCGAGCACCATAAAAGCATTTCCATGAACCTAATAATAACGATCTTCACCGATAAATATTCTCAACCAGTGGAGTCCATCCAGTCTGGAGTGAGAACATATACTCGCGCCATGGATGACAAATTGGCTAGTGCCAGTAGCAATAAAATCACGGATTAGTTCAAGTTAGTATTCATGGACTGGCTCTTGAGTCGGGTCCCAGTGACTGAATGGTCTACGAATTTTCCTTGCTCCCCCGAAGGTCCTGGGTTCCAACTCCAGTGAGTGTGGGTGCGCACCTCAGAAGAGTACCAAACTAGACTGACTAAACAGCTGTGCAGTACTCCGGTGCTGGTTTTCAATGATTCTTTTTTTATTCCTTTACGTTCCCAGTAGAACATAGGGGGCTTCAAACTAGAGCTTTGAAACTTCGGTGGCAGTGGTTTTATTTCTACGGGGTAGGGGTTCCTAGACTCATGCCCAACCCTCCCTCTTCACCGATCTTACTTCCAGCTTAGCGATGCTTGGAAGTACGTTGACTTGGAGTCGGATAACAGACCACACACGCAGTTAGTTGACGAGCATTCTACTGCTGTCTCATCGACGCAAAGGTCCTCTAACCAGTATCAATCCGTAATCAAATTTGAAACGAAGTCCATTATTGTGTTTTATGAGTAAAGTTCGTTTTTTGAGTGAACCATCCAGAATATGTGTGTGTGAATCTAAAAGACATAATCAACTGGAGGTTTAGATCCATAAATATACACTACTAAACTGCTTGAATATCATTAAACTGGTGAATGATTTCACAAATAATAATACACACATTGAGCAGTCACACGCAAACATACTTCATCCACTTACTTTTAGTATCATAACAATAATTCGAATTTTTATTCTCATTATGATCGCTGAATTCATTCAGGAGACCAGCATCAGAGGCATTGATATAGGCAGATAAACAATCACCTTCATCTAAGTGAATTATAGGCATCTGAGAAAATGACACGGGTAAGGGTGGGGGGGAGGGAAAAAGACGAAAACATATTACTATGCGTAGATGTTTAAGTTAAGCCAAAGTAACCCAACAACAACAACAACAACACCACTAGCTAGACAATAGGCGACGTGTGCCCATGAACACTTACCAGCATGATGGTTGTCAAAAGAAGAAGGTAGCCAAGTCAACAGCTCAATCAATCCTGGAGCATATTATTACTTCTGGTCATGCATCAATCAGCATCAGCAGAGACTCCTTTCACAGTCACATATTTAAAGTACGAACAACTCTTTCGAAAGGATTTCGCCTACATCTTAATCATAAGGCTGAAGCCTCAGCAATCATGCATAAGGAGAAATCTGAACTTCACCATGTTTAGAAATGTTTCTTCATCCAACCTCATCTACTACCATGGCATTAGTACTTTTATGTCTTCTTTTTCTTCCTTCGTTGTTTTTTTTCCTGAGTAGTTCGTCTTGTTTTTTTTGAGAAATTCATTTTCAATATTTTGTTCTCTTGTCCCACAACGACCATTTCCAAACGAATATTCATCACTAAGCTAATGAGTTATCAAACCTCTTGATAACGTGCACTTTAATTTGCTTTGTTACTAATTAACAATAACCTTCGACCTCTATCGTCAATCTACACTGCATATTATTATTTCTTATTTTATTCCTTGACGTTTTGAGCGGAGTATAGGACTTCAAGATGAAGCTTTGAAGTCTCAGCAGAGGTGGTGTTTATTTTTACGGGGTGGGATCGCTAGCCTGACACCCAAACTTTCCATTTTTACTGGCGCCTTGCTACCAGCTAAGCGAGGGTTGGGAGTGTTTCAGTTGGGAATCGAACTCCGGCCCATGTGAGGCATGGCTGACGTAAATTCCATATCTGTGAACCACCGATGCACAAATGCGAGTTCAGCCTTAAAGTTTTTGTTAGTGTTACCTGCACAGCGCTAATGCTGGTTCATCAAAATAAATCAAGTCAGTTCCTTTAATGATACTTTATACTATAATTGACTGAATTTCGACTAAGAAAGTGGAATTCTTGAGGTTAATCTCATACAGCATACGACCTACATATTCTGATATTTTACAGTAGCGCAAGACACGTCCTGTTATTCACAAGGTAACACCAAGATACATGAATAAATCACCGTGACAAATTCCTGAACAGTAGGCCACACATGTACTCCACCTCGTTTACGATTCACACATAGATATTTGGCTGAATGGCTTCAGAACTCGACTTGAATGAACGGAATCACACGGAAAACACTTAAACAGCGAAGAAACCTTCCTTTTCGACGATTCATTTACCAATTTACTTGCTCGTGTGGAGCAAAGTGTATTAATCAAACGCAACGTCAAATCCGCAAAAGTATTCTGGAACACTGTCCGGCCTGGCTAGCTAACCAGAGATGAAATGAAGAATACCAGTAGCTGTATCCTCGAACACCTTATCAAATCTGGACATCAAGTACCCTCGCATGAATGCTTCACATTACTACACAGAGTTCCTCAATATCGCATGAAAGGACTTCGAATACGCTATATATATACATAGCTGAATTATTGGCTATTCGGGATCCTGAACTTGACCTCTTCGTTCAAAAGCACTACATACATTCACTCTCCCTACTGTGGCCATTTCATTATTATTATCATCCTTATTTTATTATCACTCTACTACTGTTTATTAATAAAATTTCATTTTCATACAGATTTTATAAAAAAACATTTTATCGTCTTTCCACTAGCTTTTGTCCAGTCTACACAATTATATTGATCAGTCATTTTTCATACTTATGACATCATCTCAACTTCTACTTCCTTTTTCTAATTTCCAATTAGTTATCCCCATTCTAGATGACACCTCACACATTATGTAATATATTTTCGACGACAATTTTTACCAGTATCTGATTGGCCTTATAAAATCTTTGTTTAAATATATGAATATGATTGAACAACAGCTTATTGAAAAATGAATCATCGAAAAGAAAATTTACATCGCTGCTGTTTACGTCTTTCTCGTAACTCGACTTGAAACCTACTCTACTAGACCCATGTTCGAATCCCGACCCAATCAGTACAGTCTGGGCAACTGGGTAGTATATTAAACCGTCAAACATTAAGTAGGGCTCATAGTCTATCCCCAGTAGTAACTGAACTCCAATTGACCAATCATATTGATACTTTTTGGTCCTATTGCACAAACTCAGCAATGAACAGCAAATATTTCATGAATATTTGACAAATAAAAGACTGACAATAAGAAAAAGATGAGTAATATTATATAGGAGAAGGAATGTTAGGTGTAACTTACTCCACACTTTAAATCAACAATAAACCAATTTGGAACGTAGATGAGTTTCTCGCGTTTCTTTATTTCTTCTTCAAATGAAACAACGCCTAAACATTCACTCATTGATGCCTGTTTTCCGTGTGTGTGTGTGTGTGCGTGTGTGTTTGTGTGTTCGAAACAAAAAGCGGGAAAATATTCAATTTAAAATAAAATGCTACTGAGAAGTAAAACAAATTAAAATTGTTTATAAATCTGTAAAACGATTTCATTGGAGATTTTTGTTACGAAAAGATATCGATTAGAGAATCAAGGGGGCACTGGACAGCTGTTTCGTGTGTGCTACTTTCTAACAACAGTGAGCACTTACGACCCAACCAGTGATGAAACACCCAGGACAAAATCGAAACGGCAAGGGCGACTGAGATCAAGTCATTACGTCCATTGGGTTTGATGAAACTTCTCAAGTTAACTGAAGGGGTCGACACATTTAACACAACTTTACAACATATGCCTACACTGGGAACTGGTGTAGACTAGCTCTGTACGATGAATCTTACGTTAAAAAGCCAAAATTCAAAAAACTTTCTCTTTACTGCACAACTTATTTCTATAGGCTTCAAATTATGCACACATACATACAAAAAATAGACTGCTGTACGTTTTCGGTAAATATACATAAAGACGATCGTACAGTCTAAGTAGATGACTTCGTCGACAAAGGAAATTTTATGACAGATAAGTAGCAAGGACTGCCATGCAAGGAAAGGAGATAATATTTCGTTCTGATAGAATGAGACTATCTGAAATAACCATTGAATTAACAGACTACCATTCATACAGTGATCCAGATTTTCACTTTGTCCTCAATCAACGCCTAATTACAATCCACTTAGTTTCATAAAGGATTGAATTATCAGCACCTTCTTCACAGGGATCGTAATATGTCAGTATCCGCAAGGAATACAATAAAATAACATCATTAAATCAAAACATTGAAAAAAGAGTAACTAATTATCAGTATTATTGTTCCCTTGGATTGCGATTGGTACACACAGCTTCAGTAGAACATCTCCACTTCGACCTATCCTCTTCAGTCATCTTCAGCTGGCCACACGGCTCCCCATAGTCTTTCATCTCCTCTCCTGCTTTTCGTGACACGCAGTGCAATTTTCTGACGCATTTAGAAAAACTGACTGACTTAACATTGGTGGTGAAAATCTGAAATGTCCGGATTGTGGTGAGGTGGAGTTCAGAAGATTTCGAAACTGATTTCTAAGTTGCCTTTCCAATTCTAGTTTTGACATCCTTATCCGTACCGAATGCCTTTAGTTGAAACGAAGCTTCCTAGTCAGATAGGTGAAGGAAAAAACCTCCTTCAAATCTCGCCCCTTGATAGTGACTGCTGCTTGGCTGTTATTGTCATTCGCTGGTCGGTTATTTTCATCACCTCCATCTTCTCTACTTTCACTCCAAGTCCTCGCTTTGTTGTCAGTCTCTTCAACCAGGATGTTGATTTTCGAGTTTGTGTAACACTAAACACTAATCATCTATGAAATCCAGATCATCTAGAGTCTTCTTATCGATAGTCCAACGTATTCCTGTCTCCTCGGTCCTCACAAGCGGTCTTTCGCATGATGCAGTCCATCACAATTAGGAATATCATAGGTGATAGTTAGCATCAAGTCTTGTCTAACTTCTGTTTTGGATAACCTGATATGTGCTATTGTCACATAGCTGCTAAATAAGTTTGATTAAGGTTTTGGGCATACCATAACGGCGAAGCAGTTTCCCAATTAATCCGCGGTCAATGCTGTCCAAGGTCTTTCCAAAGTCGATGAAATTGAGCTAGAGATTTGACTGTCATATAAGGCTCTCAAGCTAAATTCGAACGATTCTATTCTATAACTAACTATTTATCACGTTAAAAAAAAGTATACACAATAACTGAACTTACCTTTAAAACATCATACACTGCAACTACACCTTCACTATCCTTTGTTAATATAAAACGTTTCTCTGGACATATATGAAACTGTACAACTGGTGATCCACCTAGAAGTTAGAAAAGTGAACAAAATCAAATCTAACAGAAGGGAGAACTTCAATGTACAGCTAAGTTACGAAGAATTCTTTAATGTACGAGAAACTGTTGGCTGTCTATATATATAGTCAACAAATTTTGTGTATAAATGTGTGTATCACACTTGCAGAAAACTGGGAACAGACTATCTCTTTAGGAATTCGACATTATAGTCACTGTGTCATAGTCAACGAAAACATTACCTGATGATTATATCATGAATTCTCATCACATATGTATGTAAAGTGAGCACATACATTGGCTTTTGTTGTATTCATAAGAACGTGAAATCAATTAAACGATCGCTTAACTGAAATATAAAAATATTTTAGTTCTTTTAAGTTTTGCATATATGTATTACCAACATTAGAGATTTTATATGCGTACAGTCACCAATGATATACCTAATTGTGGTGGACTGGATTATGCGTCAGACACTGGGAAACGAGAAGACAGGGATATCCTGGACCGACATGAAGAACCTAGAAGACCTGGATTTCGCGGATGACTTATGTTTGATGTCACACAAAATCGATGACTTACAAGTGAGAACTGACAAACTGGTCGAAGAAGCAACAAAGACAGGACTCCAGGTTAACATAGACAGGACGGAGGTTATGAAAATAACCAACCAACAACAACGACAACAGCAGCAACATCCAGCGCCAATCACCATCAACGGGAGGGATTTGAAAGAGGTTACTTCATTCACTTATCTAGGCAGCATTGTCTCAACTACAGGAGGCACAAACGGGAATGTCGAATCGAGAATCACGAAGGCGAGAAACACATTCATCAACCTCACACCAATCTGGAAATCTTCGTCACTTAGCATCCACAACAAAATTCGGATTTTCAATACAAACGGATCAGAAACTTGGCGGGTCACAAAGAAAATCTCCAACAGGTTGCAGACCTTTATCAACAGCTGTCTTCGTTCTATACTGAAGATCAGATGGCCGCCGGAAAGAATCACCAACAAGAAACTATGGGAACAAATAAAACAAAAACCAATCGCCCAACAAATATGCAGGAGAAAGTGGAGATGGATTGGACACTCGTTGAGGAGGCCGTTGGGTGACATCGCGCGTCAGGCCATAGCTCGAGTGGAACCTGAAAGGGAAGCGGCGAGTGGGACGTCAAAGGGTGACATGGAGGAGATCGTGTGAACAGGATTTGAAACAGTATGGATTAACACGGACGCAGGTGAAAAGTACAGCAGAAGACAGAAGCAAGTGGAGACGTGTAGTTGAGGCCCTATGTTCCACTAGGAACCCAAGGGAATAATAATAATACATTATTTCCAACACAAAGGCAATCAATTTATAGCATCGTGATATAGAATAAGGAGTAATTTTATGAGGTTATTATCTATGGTTGCATTTTCAACAATAAAAAAAATGCAGCTTAAAGTTGTTAGATGAAGACGATACGCGCTTGAATTTCTTTCTCTTCGGAATGAACAGTAATACTAACGTACTTATACGAGCGAACTAAATTGGACATAAGACCTGTCGATTGCTTCAAACCATGTAATAATATCACTGTAAAGTGTATCGCGGTAGTGAGTCACCACCTAGCTTACTGGTCACATCGGCAATCTTCGTTGATGGAATTTATTTGGCTCTAAGGCCTAAACAAAGAACGTTGTGTACACTGGAACAGATCGATGGTGATGTCGCTGGCTGAAGCGGGTTTAAATCTTTGAGGGGATTATGAAATTCTTCGAGGTTGCAGATATATGCCATGCTAAGGAATGTCAGTAAGCACGAGATCTACATGCAGAGAATTTTAAGGTCAAGTTAAAGTGTAACGATCGAGGAGTGCGAACACATCAATAACCTTGAAGACATACTACTCGTTAGTTAACAGCGTCAGTATGAATGCTATTCACCATTTGAGGTGCAAATTTCATTCCAATAACGTTTTTAAGTACTGCTTAGATAATAGGTTGATACCACGTAGGTAGATATAATGTTCTTGCGACGCTTCTGTGTACATCCGGCAGTGTTCAGAAGCAGGTGGTGGACATGTATTTTGGTATAGACATTGCAGAGAACAAATTAGTGTCCGTAATGGTAAGTTACACAGACAGATCTTTCTTTTCTAGCAACTTTCTCTTTTCAATCGAAACTGCAGCTGACGGATATACTTCTTATCTGCAATTATTGAATATAAAAAACTGGGGTGTGATCAATGGCTGTACAGACGGGAAATTCATTAACATCTACTGTGCAGTGGTTCTATCACTGGAGAGACATAGCATCCTGGAAGATAAATGCTGTCACACATATGTTGAGACTATTTGGTGTTATTGTTCAAATCGAGAAAACCGTTCGCATAAAGAAGAAATATAACCGTGATCACCTTAGGGCAAATAATGTTTGGGTTCCGGGAATTTATGACACAAAACTTCAGAATGGAAATGTGAAGCTAATTACAAGTCGTGGTGCCGACACCCTTCTTTCTACCTATTATACAAAGGTTAGTCATTCTTGGCACGACTATTCATATAGATGAATGGGTGGGATGCAATCGGCTATCAGATATGGGTTTCATGTATCACTGAGTCAATCCTTCAGATGATTTCGTCTACCGTCTTAATAGAATCCATATTAATTCAAACGACGGTTTTGGGGGAAGACGGGAAAACAGGATAAGAGCAATAAATAAATAGGTGGCAAAAAGAACTCATCTTCAGTCATCTTGAGGAATACCATGTATAGAAACTGGTTCAACTTAAACACTGATACTCCTCAGTATAATTGCGAGATATTTTGAAGTTATATTGTATTTTCATGAATTTCTCTTCTAAATAAAATGTCATTTTTAAGTAAAAAAGCACTGGTTTTTCTGATTGGTCGGTGGTTCAAGGCCACTCGTACGTCTTCATCAACTGAATCGTCACTTTTGCAATCTCACATCGATTTAAAACGCCTTAAAAATTTTGCTTTGATTCTAATTTTACTCAACTCATATTTAAAAATAGTTTCCTTTTATTTAGTCTATCGTATCTTTCCTGGTGCGTGACTCCGTTGGACTTGTATTTCATATGGTAAATAATAATAGTGGTAGTAAGAACAAATATTGATTTAGAAGAAAGCAGTTATATTTAACAAGACCAAACAACATTCGTTGAATTAATGTCAGAAAGGCAAGAAGGAAGGAAACTGTAGCATGTCCGCCATTGACTGTGATTCTTGGCCATATCTGATAACTTTTCGAGCCACCAATTCTAGCTATCTCTTTGACCCCAACTAGGGAGTCGTGCGTGATTTACCAACCGATGCTAACCTAACACAAATATCCTTCATCCCACGACGCCAAGTCATGGGTTGACCGACTTTCCGCCTTTTCCATTCCATCCCAGGGCTAACGAACAGAGACTACCGGTACGGAAGCCTCTGGGATGACATTCGTAGTACATGGTGAAGTCACCGAAGCCGGTGTTTCCAGATGACAACATTTAGTGAGTAGTGATCTCCACTGTCTCGAAACACAAACTGCCAGCCCTCAGAACTACTCACACGATGATTTCATAGAACGCAAGCAATCCTGTGGAGAAAGCGATGGTCGAGTACACAGAGTCGTCGCACATCCTCATGTTTCACAGGCGTAGAGCAAGAATGCACGCACCAAAACATTGTGAGCTCGACCTTTGACAACCAGGCTAACGACACGACGGCGTCAGAGGTGGCTTAAATTGGCGTATACCACCCTAGCTTTCATGATACGGTTGGAAATCTCGTCCGTCGCACCTCCGTCAGAGCTCACACAACTACCCAGATACACAAACCTATCGACAACTTCAAAGGGTTCACCTGCAAGAGTGATTGCCAATCTTGCCACATACCATATTTACAGACACTGATAGCCAACTGATTAAGTGCGATCTGGGTGGCCTGCATCGCATAATAAGACGAGGTTAAAATGTCTTTCTCCAAGAAGCAGATAAGCACCACCCCGCATGTCCTTCACAGATGTCTCCAGAATGTCATCGATGGCAAAGTTGAAGAGAAATGGGGAGATCGGGCAACCCTGTCTAACACCCCGCTGATTTGATAGCTGCTTGTATGCCCTCACTCTACCTCAAGTATTTCTGTATATAGGGCTTTCAGGATGTTAACAAACTTCTCAGGTACACGCCTCTCTCTAACAGACAGTTTGAAATGAAATAACAAATACGGAGTAACACTTTACCTTTTATAATAAAATCAGGTTTTAGCGATGTTGTGCTGTGATTGTATCTTTCATTGCCATTATTAGTAGTAGTATTAATATTAGTATTAGCAGTAATAGTAGTAGTATTATCAGCTGGCGAAGAATTGTCCACCTCTCTGGTCAAATCATTTGAAATACCATTTGATATTGATACAGACAATGGCGTGGTGAGATGTTCAGCGCATTTTGTCATCATTATTTGATGCTTGTCTGTAGAATATTCTTTACCAGTAGCAGCAGCAGCAGCAGCGACATTATTATTAACATCACCACAATGATTTGAATAATTATGCCGATGATCTATTATTGTTCGACCGTATATTCCACCAGGACGTCTAATAGGCTAGATAAAAATGTGGTACAAGGAAGAAAGACAGATACGTGGAAACTAACAATGATTATGATGGAACATAGACAGTAAAAAATGGTGCAAGTATTCTTGGCGTACGTGAAACAGAAAGAGAATTAGCTTTGTATGACCGCAGAGCCCAGGGGACAACTGCTTGAGGTCAACCGATCACACACACGGCCTGTATAAACTGGATTTTAGCTTTGGTTCCGTATTAGTTTTTTTTTATTACAGCTTGATTCCACACCGTATTTTTTGGTACAGGTATGGAATTTTTAGCATGTGATATCGGTAGCCCAAATTTTGCAGGCCGACTATAGATATCAGGTGTGCGCCGGCAGAAGATCGAACCCCAGACCACGTGCATGGTCGGCGAGAGTCCTAACCACTGTACCACCGACGCACAATTAGTAACTTACTGCCAGCTTTGGACCCCTCCTCTCCAGAGTGAACAGAAAGCATAGCTGGTTATTTGGGGGAAACACGTTACTACTGTTACATTCCTGTTCCCTAGCAGTACGACTTTGTCCACAGACTCCAAGCATAGTGTAAAAAGAACTTCTTACACTATGCCGGTAACTGCTTTTAGTCTAATCACTATCCTAACCATCTTTCAAGAAGGGTAGGACCTGCAGGAACAATAGTTCCAGCCAGTGTAGCTTTTTAGGTCATTGCGACATGCAAACCCAACCACCACGTGTCAATGTAGCAGCTATCAGTCAGGCAAGTATTCTAAACTGGGTAATAAGCCACATGTACCGTGAATAACCGGTTATCTCAAGAATTCCCATCTGTATACTATTTATGTGAGCTATTCACCGTAGTTACATCGAATTCATACACAATTTAAGAGATTCTCATCTAGTAGGGTCAGTGCTATTAGCCAAACTTTGACGTTTACGTAATTTATTTCACCACAGAGGGATACAACACTTCCTGTATGACAGACTTCTTACCATTTGACTATGCGAGAATCTTTTCTTTTTTTACAGTGGCATTCATTATAAAGTACTTGACTGGGTGTAGTTCAAAAAGGAGAAATACCAATATTCTGTAAACATTTCAAAAATATCAGCCACCTATAATCCATTGATAATAAGAGGATACTGATATCAATCAAGTATTTCAATAAACCAGGTCTCTGTGTACAAAAGGAGATGGTTGTGACGCTAAATCTACCATGGTAATACGTTTTACCTATTATTCTACCTATTATTATTTTTTTATTATTATTCTCATTATTACTATTCTTGATTCATTTAAAACTATCCTTTATCAGTTGGATTATCTTAACTCACTTCAACACTATTATTATTATTGTTATTATAACTATTACTATTGATATTACTCTGTTTGCAATTCTTGTTATATTCTCTAATATCTAATTGTTTATCTAAGTGATGTAATTGAAGCGTAATGCAATTTATCTTAATATTGATCTCTCATACTCCCTCTTCCCTTATCTATTTGAACATGACCTGGAAAACATTCGCACCTGTCTTTCAGCATGACTAATTCAATGTAGTTTATTTACTTATCACTCTTATATCTCCCACTGTAATTTCAAAAGTATAAATATCCGTGTATGTAGAGTATTCAGCTGACGAGTTCTACCGAAATTTGATGAATTCATTAAATCCTCCTTTATTAACCTTTATTGCTTGTTTTGTATTTTAATTTAGTTGTTTTAGTTGATTTAATTGTGAATCTTTCGCTGCCCCCCTTCTAGACATCTTCAGCTTAAATTTTAGTAAATCTGGTCTATAGTAATGTGTTAGTAAATTGCTGATTCAACTGAGTACCAGGCTTCTAGCAATTCCTTGGCATCTTTGGTGTTTCCTAGGTTTCAAATTTTCTCATTCCCCGAATCGAATTGGTGTCTATAATTATCCGCATGTATCGATATGACACAATACATATCACATCTTTTCACAGCTAATCTGTGTCAATGGATTCGGATTCGAGGGAGGCAGCCCACTTTGACTTATGTAGTGTCTATTGCAGTTAATACATGCAATTTATTATTTAAATGGTATTGATCTTATCTTCTTTTGCTGTTGGATCCTTCGGTTAGCACAATATTGAATGAAGTGATTGTGTTGGTTGGCTTGTGTGCTATATCTATTTCCAATGGTTCTAGCCGTTATTTCACAGACATTCTTTATATATGGTAGAGTGAATTTTCTTGTGGTCTTTGACGATGGTTTCTTGTTTGTCTTACAATTTGAGTTTAAACACTTTTTTTGATGAAGTTGGATGGGTATTCATTCTTCTTGAAAACAGCTAGTAGGTATTTCTCTTCCATTCTCTTCAGCACCGGAGTGCTATAGTGTGTTTGGACTCTTTTAAACAATGTCTGTACATAGTTTGTTTTGTGAGTCATTGGATTACTGCTATTATAGTTGAGTGTGTGATCTTTTTTTGAGTTGATTTTCTGTATCAACAGCTCACAGAACACAACTAAATTAAAATCATCCACCTGAACTACAAATCTTCTGTATTATTAATCAAGTATTCGCCAGAGTGGACACGTGTCTCAATGACTCATGCAATCAACTTTCAGGCAGTGAATGGCGGATCCGAATACTGCCCTATCTAATTCTGCTTGTGCAGCTGGGTAGAATCATCAACCCTCACACATAATAAGTGTGACTGCTCACAGTCTGGAAAATGAATGATCTATTCCTGGAAGGAAGCAAGATAAAAAAAACCAAATATTCCACTTATTAACTTACCCAACGTGATACATTTGTATTACACGTTGCAGACCATATGTACGATTGATTCTGACCTTCATGCAAAAGAATCTATAAAAAATAAATAAATAAATAATCTAAAAATACCATACATATACAAACTAACACTTGAAAATTGATCTGAGGCTCACTAGTGTGACCGGCTACAGGCAGATGAAGTAGCCAGGAGTTCTAGTGAGAATTCGTGACTACCAGGTCGGGAGTGAGAACAAATACGCGCCACCAATGACACATTGGCTGGTGCCAGTTACGCTGAAATCAAGAATTAGTAAATGCTAGAATTCATGGGCTGGGTGTCAGTGGCTGTGAACGGTCTGTGAGCTTTCCTTCTAACCGGAACGTCCTGGGTTCGAGCCCCAGTGGGACGGGTGCGTACTCACGATGAGTTCCGAACTAGAACTTAGGAATTCCCTAAGGTCTATGATCCTCGCAGTGGCAGGTTGTGGGTGTGTACTACCGAAGTGACACAACCTAGGGCGAAACAACTGCCCAGTACTCCATTATTTCCAATGGTTCATTAGTGCCTAGAAGATAAATACCTGAGTTAGAGACGATTTCTCCTACAAAGTGACATTAATCTCTAAGGGAGAGTAAAACTCTATAAATATACTACGCACTAATTTGTAGCTTTAGAGTTCGAGAGCAAGGACTTCGAGATCATCCTGGGAAGGGAAATTTTCCTTTCCGATTTTCAACGTCACATATCCAACATTAGATTATTTAAATCCAACAAGCGGTTGAGATGTATGATGAATCAGAAGAAGATTTAAAGACGCTGATGGTCAAATTACAACCTAATGGTGATTGTAAGCGACACACATTGATCCCCTGTACAAGCGCAAAGTCGTTTGTGCAATAGTGCTTTGTCACTTCTATTGGTTCTCTAATCGACTGATAGTACACGATGAGAACTACCCAATTATTCCTGACAAGTTAACTTATCTCGATTCAAGAATAGAACAGAATATTAAGTAGATCAGCCAAATTGAATTCTTTAATGAACATTTACTCGTATCCAAGCAAAAACAATTCGAGAAAGCAAGCTATACTACTAATTGAAAGTAAGTAGTATAAATGTTATTTCATATCTTCTGAGCACAACAATAATCATTCACATCACGCTTGTATTTTCCACAAAAAGATAAGCAAATATAACACAGCAGAATTCCTATTACGTATATATGACACGCAGTTTTCCTTGGACACTAACCAGTGTCGCGCATCTAGTTCTTTGCTCGCTGCAGACTGAATTCTATCAGTCAAGTTTGCAACGTTGCCACCATGCCACTAGGTGGCTCTCAATGACAGTGCAATATGAATTGTTGTTATTCGATGGTTGGAGGCAGTCGGGCAGGAAGCCCTACCTGACTTGGGTTTCGTACTTGTTGGCACTCATCAATCGCCAGTCTGAATACCTCCTCAGTGGTAACGTCTCTCAATGACTGCAGCACTACTGAGTGGTGACACGGGTTCGAATCTCAGGAAGGGACATGAATCTCTTCAAGATTGCAGATCTTCGTCTTATTGACTGGCTGGTGAGTGCCAACAAGCACAAAACCTAGACGGAAGGCTTCCTGAAGATCTCCTCTTGCCATTTAATACCAAGATACACAGTTTTGCCATAATAATAACCAAATATGAAATAAACAGAAGACGAACTTTGAAGCGAATAAAATAAATAAATCAGGAAACTTTGTTAAACTTTATAACATGCTCAACAATCATGTACATTTATATTCACTTGATAGGGGACTACATTAGAACTTCGGAAGGGAAAGTGGAACTCCAACCTGTAACTGATTGGTTGATAATCAAACCGATAAACCATTGCACCACAACTCCACTCGAATTGCACAACCGACATATGTACAAACTATTGAATTCTTATTGAGTCGGTAGTCCAATGGTAGAATTACAGGTCAATCAAGCAATCGATCCGAGGTTCAATACCCTGCTGACTCACTCCTTTACCTGGCTCAGCCGGTAGTAGGCCCGGTGGTAAAGAGGGAAGGTTGGGTGTGGAGCTAGCAACCTCATCCCGCAAAAAAACGCCACCGCTACTGAAACTTCAAAGCTGAAGCTTGAAGCCGTATGTTCCTCCACTGGGAATGCACAGGAAGAGAAAGAAACTGAATTCTTATTAGTCACTTGAAACATGTTACACACCTTTACTAGTAGTACTGAACGAATGAAACTTAATGATCAAACAAACACTCGTCAAACTAAACGTTCAGACTCACTAAATGCCCACATCTTAACAAAGTTTCTCTTACAACAAAGGGCAATACAAAATAAGTAACTGTGTCTCATACATTTAAACAATATCTATTACAGATTAATTTATTTTAATTATTATTATTCCCTTGGGTTCCGAGTGGAACATAAGGCTTCAACAACACATCTCCACTTTCTTCTGTTCTCTGCTGTCCTCTTTGTCTGGGCACACGATTGACCATAATCTCTCATCTCCTCCATGTCACCCTCGCACTAACGACACACTTGTCGCTTCCCATTTGGATTCCACTCGAGCGTTGGCCTGCATTGAGCGCGATGTCATTCGACGGCCTCTTCAACGTATGCTCGATCCATCTCCATTTTCTCCTACATATTTGTTGAGCGATCGGCTCTTGCTTTATTGGTTCGTTCATTGCCAGAGTTTCTTGTTGCTAATTCTTTCTGGCCAGCCAGCCATTTGATCTTCAGTATAGAGCCAGCGAAGGCGGCAGCTGTTGATAAAAGTCTGCAACTGGCTGTTGAAAAACCTTTTCGTGACACGTCGGCCAAGTTTCTGACCCGTATAGAAGAACCGACTGACTTCACATTGGTGTTGAAATCGCGAATCTTGTTCTACATGTTAGTTGAGTGCAGAAGATTTCCAAATTGGTTTCAGGTTGATGAAGGCGTATCTTGTCTCTCCGATTCTGGCTGGCTGGCTTTGACATCTTCATCCGTTCCGAATTCCTGTGGTTGAAACTGTAGGCGACAGCACGGACGAGGACGTCAAAATCAGTCAGGATATGAAAGGCAACATGAATATTCATCACTCTGAAATCAGTTTGGAAATCTTCCACTGAACTCAGCCAGCATAAAGAAGAAGATTCGGATTTTCAGCATCAAAGTCAAGTCAGGCACTTCTTCCGTATGGTTCAGAGAATTTGCGCGCCAAAAAAAAAACATTTTCTGTAGGCTACTACAGGCTTTTATCAACAGCTTTCATCGCCAATTCCATAGTGAAGATCAAATGGTTGGTCAGAAACAATTAGCGAAAAAGAAACTCCAGGAACGAACCAAGCAACAAACTATTTCTGTAGAAGGAAATGTAGATGGATCGGACACATCCTGAGGAGACCGTCCAAAAATATCAGACACCAGGCCATCACTTGAGTGGAACCCATATGGGAAACGACGATTTGAGCATGGGTCTAACGGTGACATGGAGGAGATCAGAGATTATGTGGAATCATGGGGCCAAGTAAAGAAGACCTCAGAAAATAGGACAAAATGGAGTTGTGATGTTGAAGCCCCATGTTCCACTAGGTTGTAGCCAATGATATTATATGTCCAGTCCCTAATGTCGGTGCTGAATTTGTCTGAGACAATGAAACTGTGGTATAATTATGATGCTTTAGAATAGAGGGCGATGAAACTGTCATCTGACTTGTGCATTACTGATAACTGAAGTGTTTTACAAATTCTCGATGAGACAAAACACATACCCTTAGTACTGGATCCGTCTCTTCACCGATCAGTGTGGAATGACACGGATTATGCAAATCAGTAGCCCAAATTTTACGATCTTTACCAGCAGAATAAATAGTTGTCCAGTTATTATTAACCTATAGAATAATTAAAGCAATTGTATCAAATAATATGTATTCAATAATAATAATAATAATAATAATAATATACATGCAAAAACATTAAGGTATTCTAAACCAGAAGTCATGAATACAAAAAAAATTCAGTTAGAGAACCACTGAAAACCAGGGAGTACTGGACAGTTGTTTCCTCCTGGTTTCGGACTCATAGGCAGCGCTTAAAACAAATCAAATCCCTATACACAAACTCTTCAAAATTAATCTGACATTCGTTAGTGACTGCCTGCAGGATGAAGTTGACTGGAGTTCTAGTGGGAAGTCGTGACCACCAGTGAGGTCCAACAGGCCGGGAGTGATAACAAATAGTCGCCAGCGATGATACACTGGTTGATGCCAGTCCCGATAAAACCATCAATTGGTAAAAGTTAAAATTCATGGGTTTGTCGTTAAGAAGCCGAGTCCCAGTGACTGAATGATCTACGAGCTAGCTTGAATTGTAACCGTAAGGTTCCCACTGACTAACTGCTTTCAAAGTAGAACTTTGCACGCATGTTCAGCAGCCCGAGTCGCTACACTCCATCCATGTTGCACACAAAGCAAGAGAAGAGAGTAAAGAGCGACTCAAAACAGAGATAATAGACAGAAATATAAGGCAAAAAGAAGGATAATATGGAAGAACAATGGAATTTTATTAGATATTATAAATCACAAATAGCGAATGTATCTCCACTGTCATCAAGAACGATTTTGAGGCATACCACCAATTGTCTCCAGCCCTTATATTGGTTCTTACCATACCAAGGAACCCAACCAGTCTGGCAGTTTACACCTCCACACGTAATTGGCTTAAACAAACTGTTGTGGATTTCATTGACTAATGATGAGACCATGCTTTGGTATGACCACCGCTGGTTCTTTTTCAACCTGAGCCTATGTCAGTTAACATTGTTCGTCGAGGAAGGCGATGGCTAGGCATGCGTAACACATGTCTTAAACATCTCAGGAAGGTTCTGGGTCCGAACCCTGAGGGTGTAGGCGAGTCGCCAACGAATCCCAAACTAGGCTGACGAAACAGCTGTCCAGTACTCCCTGGTAGTTTTCAATGGTTCTCTAACCGGGATATCAGTCCGTGATCAAGCGTGAAACAAATCAAATCCCTACAGACTAAACTCATCGAAATTGAAAATATTCCCTTATCAACTGGACCACTGGTGATAATACTTAACGCTCAGTTTTTTCTACTCTAAATTTCATTTCCGGAATTTTCGTCTCTTAAATTATTTTCTATTGTATCAATCATAGGAAGTCCCTTTTATACGAGGGGAACAGATGGACCTCAGTGAATTCGTCACTGAATAAAGATGCATATCAAAACTGTCTATTGCTGTCTACAGGCTAAAAACTAAACCTACTTGTTCATTGGGAAAATAATTTTTATACCATATTTTCACTATGGAAGAATGGCATAATCGTATAGTCGTACTACTTTTTGGCTAAAATTCATTACCCACTCTCATTAATCCAACGGCTGCTGCTGTTACGCAACTCCAAGTTCTGACATTAGATCACTTCGTAGTTTTCGTGGTCAAGTTGTGCAGCTGTAGCTGCTAACTGATCTAGGCGCTTGTAGCTTCTAACCATTATTGGGTCATGATTTTAAAATCGCCTCTATTTACGGAGATTTAGCCAGCTAGCTAGCTGGGTAGGTATCATTAGCTCTCACACAACAGCTTATGGAATTACAAATAGTTGGTTTGAGTACTCGAGTTGGTGATAAACATCAATGTGACTAGTTTACTGTCCATTAAATCGAACACACAATATATTTTGAGCAATTATCACCCGTCATGGAAAGGCTTGGAATCAAGGAGCACTGGTATTTCATTGACATTGGCATCAGTCAATGAAATCCATCACCGTTAGTTTAAGCCAGATACACGTAGGGTGGTGTAGACTTCTTGACTGGCTGGTTGGGATCCTCGGGATGATAAGAACCAAAGGAGAGAACCGAACGCAATGGAGACGCACGGCTGAAGCCCTATGTTCCTCTAGGAATTAAAGGAAACAATAATATATGTATATATAATAAAATCCTTATAAATTTAACGGCATTTTTAAAAAATAAATCATAATAAAAATTAGCGCAGAATAAGATGATAATTTAATTATTACCTGAAGTGTAAAAACACTTTCACTATGAATACGTATTGTATCTGTACATCGTTGCATACCAAGAGACCAGATTTTGATTGTTCCATCTGAACTGCCACTAATAATCTAAATTAAATTTAAAAGAGAAATAAAAGAGGCAAAAAGGTGATGAAAGCACGAAGATTGAATCAATGAACCATTTCATATTAGCACTTCGTCTTTAAGTCAACTAAGGGGGGAGGCAAAGTTTTAAAAAACTATAACAATCCATGAAATGTGAACGTACGAATGACCTTGAGCCGACCAATCAGAAAATCCAGTGGTTTTTACATTTAGAAAATAACATTTATATTTACAAGAGAAATACACGGAATAATGATAGGACACATTAAACAGGATATTTTATTTTGATATAACCTAAAAATACCTCTCAATTATAATGAGGAGTATCAGTTTTTAAGTCAGACCAGTTACTATACACGTATTCATTGAGGTGACTGAAGATAAATGTTCTTTTTGTGATCCATTTATCGCTTTTATTGTTTTCCAGTCTTCGCCAGAATCCCTCCATTGAATTAGTACGCATTCTAGTTAGGGGATCAACAACTGCTTACTAGACAAATGAGGATGATAAAAATAAAGCAACCTAACCCTAATCCCAACTCCAAGCGTAACCTTAACTAGCTATCATTACACTGTCCAAACAGTACTTCAAAACGACACTGGGAGGAGATTTGCACCTCACTTCAAGAACAGCGTGTTCACAATGGCGCCATAATAATGGCAAGTCTCGTTATCCAACGAATAGTATGCGTTTAGGGTCACTGGTGCGTTCCCACTCCTAGATCGCCACAAAAAGGAATCTAAGGAAACCCAACTATGTGAATTTAACTTTGGGAAAAGTACATCTATGACAAGGTCGAATAGCAAAGAAGAGGGTAAACCACTTTTTTATGAATACCATTCGATGTATAGACACTTAATGAAAAAGCACACTATAGGTCCCCATAAAACACAGTTTTCGAGTATGGTAACTGTAATAGGGAAATATACTCCCACCAGACACTCTCTTTACTTAAAAGATGCAATCAGATGACCTCTGGGGTTGACTTAGTCAAAAGCTGCCCTCAAATCAAGATAAACAGCTACTGTCTGAGGCATATCGTTGTGGTCAAATAAAACCTCCTTGGATTTCTGAGATTTATTGCTTCACAACTCTAGTTCGGCACTGTATGAATATACGATTTTAGATGCTATGTCGATCAAGCTAATTACCCTATGGTTCTTATACGCGAACGTTTCCATCGTTTAGCACTGAAACAACAACTGATTGACATCAATCCTGAAGGAACTACTGCAGCCTCAGTTCATGTATTAAATCCGATTCACCACTGCTTAATACCATATATGGTATACACCCACCAGGAACCGCTGCCCAACACGATTTAAGGTTGCTTTCTGGAAATCTGCAAGGGTTTGGTTTCCTACTTCGATCTTCCATTTAAGCTTCGATTCAGTGATGGGCAACAAAAGATCAGCTAGTGGTCAAAGCTGGTCAAAAGTGATCTCATCTTTCCAATGGTTTTCATCGTGAATGAGTTGACATTAAAGCGTTCTAACCGTTTTGCATTTTCCGAACCCCTAATTAGACTGTTTTATCTACCTCGGAAATTGTTTGCTGCAGCTAATCGCCACTGATTTCTTTTTATCACTTTAGTGTTCACTTCCCATCTACGAGCATAATAACTGAGTATCATATTTGTTAATTTATTGATTCGGCTCTCTAGGCTGATTTGAACCGGCTACACTACTAACAAGCTTGATCACGAACGACCGAAACGGCTATCCACTGTTTCGATCACTTCGACCGGGCTAGCAAGCAAGCCCTACTGGTTGATATGAGTGGTAGGCAACTACTTATTTCAACCAATCAGTAGTATATAGTTTTTTACGCAAATATGCCTGCTTTCTTGATTACCATATTTATGGTAGCAAGCAGGCTGATCACACACATACTGTGGTTATCTGTATAACTTGATTTCCGAAGGTAATTTCGGTGAAATGGTGTAGATTGCAAAATTCGCTGCTCTGCCTTAAGATAAAAACATTCATAATTCCGATTGCGTTGACTCAGAACTTGACTTCCTAAAAGCCACGCTCGCAGAAAACGGTTACCCGAACCGATTTATTGACAGTAACACGAAAGATAAGCAGTCTAAACTGGTCACCGACTCAGTTCCAAAGAAAACCGTATTCATGAACTTGGAATTCAAAGGTGATCAAGCTTCAGATATGCTCAAAAACCGTCTCTCCAAAGCAGTCAGTAAGCTATTCTTTGCAGCAAAATTACAAATGGCGTTCACCAGCCGCAAGTTGTTCTTCATCTCTGTAAAAGATAAGCTCCCTAATCTGGCCGCCTCCATGTGCATCTATCAGTTCACCTGCCCCTATAGTGGAGCAAGCTACATTAGCCGTAACCAGAGAATGCTTTCCAGCAGCATGTTTTTACAAAGGAGAAAGGAAGAGTGTGCGAAGCTCTATTCTAGAACACTTGATCGACTCCTGTCACTCTGCCAACCTTGACCATGATTTTAAGATCATCTACCAAATCCATGCTAACTTCCCGCGTTTTCTTCGTTCATAGACTTCTAAAGACAGCAGAGGCCTTGGCCATTCATGAATTTAAGCCAGACATCTTTGTGTACAAAAGAAGTATGTACAATTCCTACTTCTGCCTTGGCCGTAGAGGGAAAGACATTTGTTTATTTATTTTGTTTATTTAATCAATCTAAGTACCTTTCCCTCATTACTACGATTATTACTATTATTCTTACTTTGAATTTTTTCAGCTTGTCCCACTTGTCATTTTAAATCCAAAATTATTTTTTCTACAATATTGAATTCTATCTTATCAAATTTCACACCACGTTATGCAGCATTTTATATTCGCCCACTAATCCTATAATTATGCACCCCTTTCCAACATCTATACACCTTATGAATTATTCTATATATGACATTATTTGTTTTGCTATTTGCCACTTGATATTTAACTATGATTATAATCACAAATATTTGAATTGCATTTCATACTATTATTATTATTTCATGTATTCACACGTTTGATCTAATTCCCTCACCGGATATAATTTCTTAAAAAACCATATAATATACATATATATATATATACGATTGTACAGCTTGATAATAAATTTGTTGTTGGAAAGAGTCTATTCGCTGAATATTGTATTCTTAAAATTTATGTGACAACCAGCGTGTAGCCGCCGCCTAAACATACGAGGGGGGGGGGAATAGCAACAGCACTTCACCGAAAGGATTTAACAATCTTTCATATGAGTCAAACGCTGATCTGAATCTTATGATTGATATATATCATCAAATAGGTGCCTGTCAGCTAGGACCATATGATTGTCTCAATCAAAATATTGCTGTAAGAACAAGTCACAGTTGTGTTCCTTAGAGAAACAGATAAAAGTGTATACATGTATCTTATATATAATGACAGATTATCTCTGCAAATAAGACTAAGTTACATAGAGTATGCAAACTCACCTCTTCACCATTTGATCGAACAACAAGAGCACGTACACTATCTGTATGACTGCGTAAATCGAACGGTTTACTACGTGATCTAGGATCCCATACCCAGATACGTTTGTAAGGACCACCAGCTACAATAACAGTTCCAGGTGGATTCATAGCTAAGCTGTATGTACTTTCATCGTTTGTTGTAAGTGGACGAGCTTTTGAATAAAAAAAAAGAAGGCAAAACAATCTCAGTATGAAAGCAAAGGTTTACCAAAACAAGACGACAAAAATTTAGATAGCCAAACAAGTCAGCAGAAAAACCTTGCACAAAAACAGAATAGAGAGAAAAAGCTATTTCCTAATGTAAATAAACTTATATCGGTTAGTTGGAGGATTTCATCATGAGCTGACATCGGTTGGAGAACCATTGGAAAACCTGGGAGTACTGGACAGCTGTTTCGTCAGCCTAGTTTGGGACTCTTCATAAGTACGCAACCACAGACAGGGTTCGAACCCAAGACCTTCTGGTCACAAGGCTAGCGGGCTAATGGACTATTACGCCACTGGGACCCGATCCAATGGCCAGCCCATTAATTCTAACTTATGACAATTCACGACACAATGCGACCACTTCGCAATGTCTTCTTCGATGAGTAACTGTCCTGACCTTTGACCTTCGGTTAGATAAATACTGTAAGTAATACTGATAAGAAGAAATGGACAATAATTCTCATATAATGTACTGTAATGATGACCATCAAGTTAAATGTCAAATGGTTGACTGCGGTCCTGCAGATGAGTGCAGTGCGACAGAATACTGAAGAATGAGCCCGCGCAACATGACGTATAACTTATTCGTTATGAATCAATAAAGAGTCAACTATGACAACAGGAAGTGGTCCAGTGGCGGAATGCTCATCACAACACAGACACATTCCTAAGCCAATCTAAGTTTACAAGAGGATAGTATGCCAAGAAAAGAGGGGAGGTCAGGCATGAGCTATCCCCAAAGCCCTAAAAGTACCACCGCTACTGAAAATCCAAAACTTGAAGTACTCTGTTCCATTCAGAAAGCATAGGAATAAGAAAAACAAGCTTCGCGAGGTTACAATTTTGTGAAGTATACAATATCTCATAGGAAGACATCTCGTTTTTCAACTACTATCAAAAGGGTGCTACACGTTGTTAAGTCTTAATTAAGAATGCGAAGCATATTATTTACAGAGCTGGTCACGAGCTGACATCTCAGTTAGAGAACCATTAGAAAACCTGGGAGTAGTAGACAGTGGCTGGCGTTTGCGCTAAATACATATATCACGAATTGGTAGAGGTTGGAATTCACGGACCATTCGGTCGGGTCCGAATAGCTCAATGGTCGATGCGCTCACCTCATAACCGGAAGGCCCTGGATTTGAAACCCAGTGGGTGTGTACTGATAAACAGCCCCAGACTGTCCAGTACTCCCTGCAGGTTTTCCAACGTTTCTCCAACTGATGTCACCTCGTGATCAGTTGCATAATCAATCAAATCCCTGCAAACCAACACACTTGACAAATTTATTATTCAAGTATTGGTTTTTTGTAGGGATTTAGTTTGATTGGATGGAGGATTTCATCATGAGCTGACATTAGCTAGAGAACCACTGGAAAACCTACAGGGAGTACCAGACAGCTGTTTCGTCATCCTAGTTCGGGACTCATCATAAGTACCCACGCAGAGACAGGGTTTGAACCCACGACCTCCTGGTTACAAGGCTAGCGAGCTCGTAGACCATTAAGCCACTGGGACGCGATCCAATGGCCAGCCCATAAATTCTAACTTCTGTCAATTCACGACATAGCGCAACCACTTCGCAGTGTCTTCTTCGTTCAGTTACTGCCTCATCTTCATTTAATCTGCTGCACCCTACTGGTCACGGCTTCCCACTAGAACTCCAGGTCACTGCCTAAGTAGGGCCTGGTTATCATGTAAAAGTGTTTATCTTATTCATTTTAAAGAGTTTAAGAGTTTAATCAGCGGTAAAAGTGACGCATCATTAAAAAGAAATCCATGCTAATATGAACTTCCGATTTTACACAATGAGAATTCAGTGATCAGTACATAATAATTTAAACATTCTCATAATGATAATTACAGAACACACGATTTAAGCAATCAAATACGTATTTCCGGTAAATTCTCATCAGACTTCACATTCTTCACATAATGAAATATTAGTCATAGGCATTTGAAATAATGTGGTTAATAAAAATATAGGATCAGAGTTCAGGGATGTCAGTTAACGGATGACAGTGGAGGTAATCATAATAATAATAATAATAACAATAAGGATAAATTCATCCAAGTGTTTATATTAATCTACGTAGTGGTAAATGTGTAGGTAGAATGTGTATACTATTAGGAGAGAAATTAGCGATTAGATAATATAATAATATTAACAAAAAAATCCTTCTTACTTTCAACAGTGTTGTTAGTTGGTGTTAATGCGGTCAGTGTTCTGATATCCCATAAATATATAGCACCATCTAAACCAGCGCTGGCAACCTCTTCACGATGTTGAGCATAGGCAAGCACTCGTACATAGTCTTTGTGTGTGCCTAGCGTGGACATACAGAATCCTTTTGTTGCATTCCACACCTTAACAGTTGTATCGTTCGATGCAGATATCACTAAAAAAATGAAAAGAACATATGTCATTCAACACATTTACAATACCAGTACAGTTTCTTTACAAAAATGCTCTACTACTTGTTTAAAACTACCTTATTTTAACAATAAGTAAGTCCCATGGCAAATCACGTGCAACCATTGCCCAGCCCAGTCATATCCGAGCATTGTGGTTATTTGTACTACGCATACACGTATGCCTGCAAAATGTAGTAAGACGATGTTGCCTTAGGAACTAAAATCTGCTTGAATCGATACTCTAGTGGTGCAATATGTTGCAGTCCAACGCCTCGAATTATAACTGGCAAATTGTATGCTGAATAGTATACATTGACCAATTACTGAATAATATCAAACTGTTAATCCAGACAAAATCAAGTATGAAATCTAATATTATTGTTTATTATTTTTCCCTTGGGTTCCGAGTGGAACATAGGGCTTCAACAACACATCTCCACGTTCTTCTATTTTCTGCTGTCCTCATCAGCTAGATCCACGATTGATCATAATATCTCATCCCTTCTCTCCCCCCCTAACACACGATCCCCTCCATGTCACCCTCGCACTGACGACCAAACCGTCGCTTTCCATTTGGATTCCACTCGAGAGTTGGCCTGCATTGAGCGCGATGTCATTCGACGGCCTCCTCAACGTATGCTCGATCCATCTCCATTTTCTCCTACATATTTTTTGAGCGATCAGCTCTTGGTTGGTTTGTTCCCAGTCAGAGTTTCTTGTCGCTAATTCTTTCTAGCAGGCTACTTGACCTTCAGTATGGAGCCAGTGAAGGGGATAGCTGTTGACAAAAGTCTTCAGCTGGTTGTTGGAAATCCTTTCCGTGACACGCAGTGCAAGTTTCTGACCCGTATAGAAGGACCGACTTGATATTTGTGTTGAAAATCCGAATCTTGTTATGTATGCTGGCTGAATGCAGAAGATTTCCAAACTGGTTTCAGGTTGATGAAAGCGTATCTCGCCTTTCTGATTTACGTTGGCTTTGATATCTTCCGTTCCCTTATAGTTGAAACGATGCTTCCTAGATAGGTGGAGGAGGTGACCTCTGTTAAATCTCTCCAGTTGATGGTGATTGGTGCTGGTTGTTGTTGATTGGCTACCTTCATCACCTCCGTCTTCTCTATATTCACCTGTAGTTCTGTCTTCGCTGCGTGTTTCTGCGGCCAATTTGTTGGTTTCGCCTGTAAGTCTTCGAGTTTGTGTGACACTAGACATATATCATTTGCGAAATCCAGATCTTCTAGAGTCTTCTTATCGGTGGTCCAGCGTATTCCTGTTTCCTCGCACAATCCAGCCCACCACAATTAAGAATATCATCGGTGATAATAGTAAACAGCATTTGGCTGGTAAATATTTTGCTTGTTAAACTAGAGAGATTTTGGACACTAGACAGAGCAAAAATTATTTGAAATGATTTCCGCTTTTCAGTTACACAAAGGAAGAGAAATAATACTATGTCTTAAGTAGTCACCAAAATGAAATTTAGGGGAAAAATCAGTATTAATTCTGTAAAATTCGCTCATTTTCAACCGTATGAACATCAGTAGAAATAATAATTTGCTTTATTCTAAAACTGTACTAATGTTACAGTGTGGAATTTTCAGCATTTGGTACTGTATTGCATCTAATTTTATCGAATACCATTGAAAACAATTGTAAAGACAATAGTAGAGGATTGTTAATGGCAGTTCTTATTTGGTATTAGTAGTGACAGTAAGATCATCAATATAAAAAATTGTAAAATAATGATAATAGTGTTAGTAGTTAAGATTTTCAGTCAATTTTATCGAACAACACTAAATGGCAAAGTAATTTCAGAAGTATTGCTTAAATTACTTGACTACATTGATTTCCTACCTCGGAAAACTTGAATTATTTACCGGAAAATCGAATGAGTATATAGCAAGAACGAATAAATTACATAAGTCAAGGGACACAATGACGGCATGGTAGACACTTCCCATATGCCCCAAACTAGTGATATCGTATCTAACACACACTAGCAGTGGTGACAACTAGTCTTTTAAATGCAGACAACATTAAGACTTACGCCTTCCGTTTACGTAACATCAAATTACATCAGGGCAGAAAAATCAAATGCGAAGTCAGCGTAAAACAGGCTGATAACAGGTACAAATTAGCGGATGCGTTGATGAGGTGTGCACATACGCCTTAGTGAGTCACCAGTTGAAAATTGTCATCTGAAGTGGTGATAACTAGTGGTGTCCGTCAGGGATGCCCACTATCCCCGTTTCTATTCAATTTCATCATAGATGTACTAGTGGACTTAACGCTAACTGTTGACTTCAGCGATTCAGGGATTGACTTGTTACCAGGGAATAATCTCGTTGACTTAGAATATGCACATGATATAGTCTTTCTAGGCAGAGACGGTGACAAAGTAAAGCAGAGTCTTCTCAATACCTTGAGCAGCAGTCTTCGAGTGTTTGGTATGCAATTTGGTCCTGTCAAATATAAGACGATGCTAAATGACTGGACTATATTGACTCCTAGCCTAAAGATAGGGAGTGGAGAGTTGGTAGGGCTTGTTGACCACTTCACTGATTTGGGAAGTTCCATCAGCCAGCACCAACAGGCTGATCTCTGAGGAAATCTCAATACAGATACAGAAGGTTCGTTTGGCATACGCCAACTTACGCCAGTTCTGGCTTAGCATACTTGATATCCGGCTATCGACCAAAGGACGTGTGTGCTGCTCAGCAGCCCGTCCCGTCCTTTATGGCTGTGAGACATGGTCACTAAAAGTGGAAGACATGAAAAGCCTGGCTACCTGTCTGCGTTCTATCTCCCGTGTTAGGTGGTATAATAGGGTGAGCAATATTGAGGTTAGGCTTCGTTCGAGTCAATCTACGAGGTTGTGAAGTTACACCGATTGAGATGGTTAGGACATGTGTTACGCATACTGAGCCAACAACTTTGACGGGCGTGTTAACTGACATAGGATCAGGTTGGAAAAGAACCAGTGGTGGTCAAACCAAAGCATGGCCTCATAACCAGTCAATGAAATCCACAACAGTTAGTTTAAGCTAGCCACGTAGGGAGGTGTAGACTTCCTGGCTGGTTGGGGTCCTCGGGATGGTAAAAACCAATGGCTCGAGACAATCGATGATATTGCTGAAAATCGTTCTCAATGACAGTGGTGATGCATTCCCTCCTTGTGATTTGTCATATAAAAGTCTATTGTTCATCCATATTATTATTCTTTATCCTTCCCTCAAACTTCTGTTCATTATCTCTCTTTTAAGTTTCTCTTTAATCTCTTCTCTTGTTTTCTGTGCTACACGGAGTGTTGCAAGTCAGGCTGTTTAACATCTGTGAAAAGTTCTACGTTGGGATCAGTCAGTCACCTCATAGTAGGTGATCATTTAAGTCATTGGGTGGAGTTAAGCAAAGTTACTAAGAAGGGAGTTAAAAACAATCTACAACGTTATGCAGCTCAGTAGACTAAAATGACAAGGATACATGTGCTGCAGGCGTAGCCACTGACTTCATTAATCAGTAATGTTGGCTGAAAAGGATTCAGTTGAAAAAGAGTTTTGAGTGATCAGAAGAAAATATGAAACCGACCGGTGTAGTCTCTGGTTGTCTCATAGCACCACGTCGAAAGGTGTAGACTTGGTGGTATATTCGGGATCAAAATGGATCGATTAGAGACAACTATGGATCTACCTTTGAATAATTTACGATACTGCTGATGTATACACTCCCTGTTATCATGCAAGTTCTCATTAAACCACCTAATCATTCTCTTTCTTTTAATTCTCCATCCGTGGAAGTTTCATAACATTTTTTTCTCCATTTTCATATACTTTTCCAAAGTGTAGCAACTTGAACTAATACGCTTTTGTTCTGGGTCGATAAGTCTAGGAGTCATAAAATTTGCTTAGAAATTACTAAAAGTTAGCACGATTACACGAACTCAAATCGTGCACAAATAGTTTTTATTCTAATAATGCTCAAATAATACTAAGCAATGTATTTCAGAACAAACACTAAAGAACTAGCTTTTTACTGGGGAATCTGATTCAGAATACGATTACAGTTTGGGAACATATGACCGGAATTAATTAGTGTGAGACACATTAGTGTACGCAGGTGAACAAATTTGACTTTACCTCATCTTCTCAAAAGTTGTAAGGAAATATAAGTATTCGATATAAGACAAATCTGCCATCTACATTATGACATTTACGGACACAAATATGAACTACTAAACTTAAAATTGTTGAAACAAATGAAACTGCTGCTGTATGTTAAAAAATGATAAGTATAAATACAATCGGATGTGCAATAAAGAATTATTTCGTCACAGCACCAAAGATGAAGAAACCACATGTGAGAGGAATCGGTGTCATCTCTTAACTCCTTAATTTATATGCACCAAATATTAAATACTTGCATTAGCAGTAAATCAACATCATTTCAATGAAACGTATATAAAATTTCATCGAATTTACCAAACGTAAGACTAAACAAAAAACCTCAAAATACACAGACAAAACTAACGTACAATTTTTACCCCCACAACAGAGTACAATATCTGTCACCCAATCGGCGTGGTGCTCCATGGTATGAACCAAAGGGTCCTACAATCACCAAATAAAAATTACATTGCAAAGAATCTGAAGCATACTGCAGGCTTTTTGGTGTTCCAAACTCTGATAAGAGAATCACGTCCAGCAGTAAAAAGTCTTTCTGTACACTGGTCATATTGTAAGGCATTAACGCCGGAACGGTTTTTCGCCTCAACCTCCGACCGTATGAAGTAAGACAAACGACCTTTCTTTCGGCAAACATTCATGTCTGCAAGAGCGACAGACCAATTGAAGTCCTAAGGTAGAAACATACGTAGAATATTCACAAACACAAATACATCATCACAGTGTAGTAGCGCATGTAACGATGTAGGCGCCTAACATTCCAATGTCGAATATCATTACCACTATTTACAGCAAACCAGATGATTCCTTGTTGGCTTGTTATTTGTACCGAATTCGGTTTTAAAATACAACGCGACTTCACATTGTGACACAGTACAACGAGTGAAGCTTAAATTTAAGATATACTTTTGAGACAAGTCAACCTTGGCTTCTTTCCAGAGAGGAAAGTTTTTAAGTCTTTGAAAAACTTCAGTATGATGAAATTAGTTCTCCTCCCACTAAATGTCTAAAAAACAACAAGGATTTTCGAAGACGTATTGTTCCTATATTTCCCACTGTTAGTTGCTGTGCCACTAAACCATTGGTAAGGAAAATGGAATTGAAAGTGGAAATAGAACGAGCCAACACAAGACTAAAGAAATTAACAGAAGCGACATCGATCCCAGAAGTAAGACCTAAAATGGTATAAAAACGGCACGAAAAAGAACATGCTGAGAGTACAGGCTTGTTCTATTCACTACTTTTAAAAACTATAATATCCGTAATGCTGAAGTTGATATAAAGCCGCTAGTGCATAGGCCACGTTAAAATACAAAGGAGTTCCTTTACTTTATAAGTTATTCGGTGAAACTCGGCTTCTTATCCTCTCCGTAGTGAATTCCATGAAGAAATTTTTCCTAAGGTCCTTTTGTATTCCTATTCCATTTTCCGATCACATCGGGTGGTCCAATATATGTCGTTTCAAGTAGAAAACCAGGGGGATCATTTGATAGTTCTGAACGATATGATAGGCCATTATCACGTCTTTCTTAATCTAGCTGCGAAATACAGTGTAGATTCAGGGACAACAATCTTCATGACTGTTTTAAAGCACTGGGAAAATAACAGTGACTTCTTTTCTTACCGTGGATGTCCTACAAGTCCTTTTACAATTTAAAATGATTAGAAATGAATTTTCACAATGCTGTAGGAAGCAATCTAAGATCACCGTAATTCATGCGGCTTGCCAAAAGAAGTCCTGAGAAGATCTTGGGACTCACATGGTAGTTTCAACGACTTATACATATTTTCGAGGATCATTATTTCACATACTAGACTATAAAAATACCAATAAAACTTACAGGATAAAACAGGTTTGGCTGGAAATTAAGGACAGCAATAATGCAGTTTCACGTCTGAGATTGGCCTGCATGCCCAAGATTATGTACTGATTAATGTAAATTATTTCGGCTCTTAGGTAGTGGACAGCAGAGTATTTTCCCTCGACTTGTTAAATCCTACTTGGTTTTCACAGTGCACTACTTTACAGAAACAGACGTAGATATCCACTCATTACTAAAATAAAAGGCTTATAAATCCATACTGAATCCCTGTCCCACTAACTAAGCTTAACCCGCGTTGGTACAACTTCAAACATTACAGTAGCCCGTGTGATGTATTTGAGAAGAAAAAACTTAGTTCATATTAAATTCTTCACTGATTTACAGGAGAAAATTCAGATGAAGTGTATTGGCATTAGTCTAACTGAGTTACAGTCTGGTAAAGTGCATTTTCGACGACCTTCACGTACCTAAAATACAAAGCACATACAAGGACCATCAAAAAGCAGCACTATATTAGTAATAAAAATCAGTGCATTGCTTCTTTTACTGAAAAGTAAACTTTTGATGCAAATAAAGTATTTGCAGCCCACAAGTGATTTTTACACAGATGCGCTGTGCATAAGAAGGCTTAATATGCTAACCAGTATCACATATTTGTACTCATATTTCTCAGCAATCTCTGAGACATTCACCCAGTATTCTCTTACCAAGATTTCTTGTAGATCATGCAAGTACATGGCAGACTGAATTGAAATTAATTTCCTTCAGTTTCAGTTGATATTGGTGGAGACTGAACTTGTTTTGTGAATGGTGATGGCTCATCTTGTCATTTGCAGACCTGGCATGATGCAGCTCCCGTATAGAACAAGGAGTTCATGCTACAGTTCATGTCCTTGACGTAGAATAAGCAGCCGTCCAGACGCTAATTGAGAAGGGGGTATTCGTTTTCCTTTTGCTTTTTGAGCGATGCAGGCCAGGCGCATGGTTGTGTGTGTTTCATTGTCTGTGCGCCAAACCTCCAGTGGTAACAACAGAATTTGCCTGTTAATTTGCTTGGCCTGGATCTGCTTCGTGACCCATAAACGTGGGTTGCTAGGGGATCTAGCTCAAATACTCTGTGCTAACTGTAACTGTGCCAGTGGTCTGACGTTGGCCATGAGGTTTGAGATTACTGAGTCATCCAGGTCATTCATGTAATCTACTTGCCCCTGAGTGAGGAGTCTCACCTCCATTATTTGATCTACAATTCGCGCTTAAGCGCTGTAAATGATCGGGGTATGAAGTATAAGCTCCCGCAACATTTTGCTAATGGGATAAAGTAGTTGAGAGCAATCAAGCTATGTATCTCCGCAGAGATTAAGTTTTTTGATTCGGACTCTATGATCAATAAATGAGATGTAGTAATGTAAAAAGCATGAATGCGAGCAATCATATGTGTTAAAAATAATCAAACAAACCATGAAAATATAAGTTACGGCGAACTGCACAATAACAAACGGCTTGCTGTGAAATTGTCGGGTTCACAAATTTAGTAACCCGTTGCGCTATTGAGATAAACGCAAAATTATTGACCGATATCGCGCATAGAAGACAGCAGTTCGTTTTGAAAATATGTTTCTTAGCTCCGATGGTGGGCAGTTGAAACTGGGAAAATTTGCTCGAAAACACAGAAGGGCACTCATCATTCAATAGAGAAAAGGGGCATTGCAAATAAGTTATAGTTCCTACTTGGCTGTTTGTCTCATCCTTATGTCTTCCTTTATCATCGACGCTATCTGGATGATGATGTTGATGTATAGTTCCTACAATCCATTCACCAGTTGAGGCTGAATATCCTGTTTGATTTCAGGCCAAGAGAAAATATGATCAGAATTGGTGACCACATAAGAACTAATCGGTCTTTTCCATATTGTGGAGAAGATATTAAATGCTCAGAGCCCTCAAAAACAAGTGAATCAACTGGCATCTGCTGCGTCCATTTAAATGACGACTCAAGAATTTGTGATATCACTACTGATAAGTGTGCTTTAGCCTACCTTCTACTGAAGTGATAATGGCAAACATGTATCAGATTGATAATAACATGCTAACATTAAGCATGCATGTGTGCGTCACGAAACCTCGTAATGCAGATATTGATATTACCACAGATTTCACAGATTAGTGAGGAACCTTCTGCTTTGAGAAGTTTCGCTACTATAAATGCTGCCATATATAATTTTTTCGGCTACTCTTTTGGCTGCTGAGGATCTCCCTGCATAGTCTAAATGACTATTATGGAGCACTTTTTAATTTTCCGAAAAGTGGGGAGAATGGCATTATGTTATCCGTCAAAGAAAACGCCAAGAGGTTGCCAACAACTATTGGCGATAACTTCAAATAGTAGAGATTTTCGACTTTCTGTCCATTAATGACGTCTACAGTTTCAAGCATAGCTTAAATAGTTAATCTTCATATACATCTAACAGAAGGAGGGGAAGCCGACACAATCGACAGGACTGTGAATAGTCAATATCGAGTCCGACATTGAAATGATTTTTCAGGTATCATGCCGCTATGACTTCAGTGAACCTCCCGCTTTTGAATTCATCTCACAATATTTGACCACTCAGAATACCTCGACAGATAAACAAAAGCTGGTTTAAAGACTGATCCCTGCCTTTCATCAAGACGCATTACCTATCCTTTGGCTAGGCCGCCATATATGTGTTCACAGCCTCCCATCTGAGCAATTGGATCTCTATGAAATCAGAAACTTTCGCCACCCTCTTTTACTACTCCCAATCATCTCTAACTTTTATGTGCATGTACTCAGTTTTTCCAACATTTTAGTGAATATCACACTTATGAGCATGTCTAAAATTAACTTCTTACCAAACAAGGGCAGACAACAGTCCAAGAGAAATACTCAATCGTCTTGTTGGCTTAAGAAATGAAGCTAAAGCAGACAGGAACCTTTATGGAAAAGGGACAAATGACAGTCTATTTATTTCAAATGTCACACACTTTAGTCATAAAAAAACATAAGATAACACCAGCAGCTACTTGTGAACGAAATATCATCAGCGAATTAATAGCACTCTATCGGTGTATCACTGAATAAGAATATTATAATATGGAATTACATTTAACCACAGTGCCTATATCCCTGATGATTTTAATATTCCTAATCTTGTCAAGAAGGCTTCATACGGCAGGCTACATGTCACCGCTGAAGATGACAGTAGCATGTATCTGCCGAAAATGTTCGTCAGTATTTAGGACTTCCCTGACATCAGTTCACCTTTAATAATGCTGTGTCAGGGAGACTTACAAGTATTACAAGCAACCAAAGTACATATCAAACTACGACTGCTAGTCATATGCCACTCAATTATGATTAACAGTTAAATAATATCTTCCAGTAATATAAGCAAATTGCTTCTCATTAGAGCAGATATGGTTGATCAGACATGTATATCTATCTAAGTGCTAATACAATGAATCCGAGATATGTTTTTTTTATTATTTTGGTTACAGCTTGATGCCACACCGTATTTTCAGCACAAGTATGGAATTTTCAGCATGGATATCGGTAGCCCAAATTTTTCAGGCCGACCATAGATATCGGGTGTGCGTCGGCAGGGGATCGAACCTCGGACCATGTGCATGGTCGGCGAGAGTCCTAACCACTGTGCCACCGACGCATCAATAGTCTGACCAGTGAGGACCTCCTCTACAGGAATATGGTAGGATCATGGAGCTTTCACATTGCAAAAGCCTTACAAACATAACATGGTACGTCTATGGATTTATTTTTCTTGAAAAAAGACAGTTAACCAGACTGATAATGTACATTTGTCTAGACATCAAGTAATAAATACTCCAGCGAATTGATGACATTAAGAATGAGTAGTAAGTGATACACTACCCGTGCTGGCATACAGTTAAGGAAGGCGAACCAAATCTCAAAGATTGCAACATAAACTCTTCGTTTTTGAGTCTGCACATAGGTTTGTTTATATTCATCAACTTACATAGGTCATCGGAAAGTGTAAAAGTACGTGGTTCAACACTTTTTGATATTTTTCTAGTTTTCCCATAAGTTTTCAAGAGATAGTGTATCTTCCTCATAGGTGATATAGTTTTCGTTTTCTACTTTGTATCTTCGAGCAGTAAAATTTTGAAATCGTCCGTAGATTCGATATTACGCAAAGTAAGCATACATATATAACGATGCATCGTTATATCCGTATATTTATACGTGTAAATACGTATGAATCAAATAGTAGTATTTGATATTTATATCAAAAGTTGGATATTTTCAGTTAAATAGAAACCTCAATAATGCCTAACATGCCATTGCAAATGTGCAGCACCTGCTTTTCCAGTGCTCATACACAAATTGTTGGGTTTAAACTTCCTAATCAAATTCGAATTAGATTACTGAAACTCGAGATTAATAGATGTTTCTCATTTAGACTTTATACCTCCTGGAAAATAACCTCTGTAATACTTATCTATGGCGAACCGAGCTAATGGCCAGCCAAATGACTTTGAATGGCCTTTCAGAAATGCTTAAGGCATGTATAGTGCTGGAAATGCTCTATTTTTTCCATCTTTTCTATTGAAGTTGCATGGAAGGGTCCTAGTGGCACCTGAAAAATAGGATTCTAGCGATAAATAGCCCCGAAAGTGACCTGATATGCAGCATCTCCACCATTTCATGTTATAAGAGTATTTTGGACTGACACTAAGAACCCCAATGACAAGCTGGGGGAAACGTCTTGAACATATAAGATGTTGTCATGCTGTATGATTATTTTTCCTCACTTTATTTATCCTACATAAAATTCTCTGCCCAAATAACGCTTTGGTTTCTCAGGACCATCTGGTGGTCACACTTTATTGATATAAGTATAAAACTTGGGCACTGTGGTAGAGCATAACTCCATTATGGATAAGATTTTATTTTGATAAATAATAACTGATGACGTTTCGAGTTGTGGTCACACTTTAATCTCGCCGACATCGGTGTTAGACATGGCCATTGCTTCAGCAACAGACAGCACAGGTCGTCCCCAAATCAATGTCAGTGTTTCTAAATTAGGGTTCGCCACTCATATTCAGTAAAATGTAGGGCTGCCGTTAATCATTGGGCAACAAACCAACTTATTGTGTCTTCCGCAGTTGGAGAAAGCATATGGGTAAAGGAAGGAAATAGGCGATTTCGGTCGATTGAGAAGTAAGCAACATAAAATATCCAGTTTCGCCATTATACCCACATTTTCTTCACTTCTGACAAAATTTTCATCAGTCACTTTTCCTCATTTTACCATTGCTTTTCCCTACTTTACCATTTTCATGGAAAAGATTTCCGACTGTGGTTTGGTCTTGCTTCTTCTCCTTATTTCTGTGGATACGTACGGTTCGATCTATCCCTCGTTCTTTGGAAATCAATGTGTGTTTGTTTTACTTCTGTTTCTATTTTTAAAATTTACCTGGGTTGTGTTATCACTTATTTATCTCAGTCATCAATGTTATTGTTAGCTTTTCCCTGCCACCAACATGCTTTGCAGTATCTTCCATTCATTTCTTTTCTTCTACCAAACTAAACAAAAGGGTGAACTGCGATCCCAATAGCTACACTCATTGCAGCGTCTCAGAACCATAGCAGATGAATGGCGGCGCTTAACAATCAGAGATTCATCAGAAGTCACGAGCTGTCTATTTCTGCCACAATACGTGTGCGAAGAAATAAACTCCCTTACCATAGCTCATAAAAAGGTATTACCTAGTGAAGGAATCAGCGAATATCTTTCTGACGAGCTTCTATAGACCTTATGATTTTTTGGTAACTGCTTCTTGTAGTTACGGAACAGATATAGTTTTTTGACGGATTCCAATACAGTCTATCCTTCTGCTTGCTGCAGCTTTGTAGTGGCTCTGCTAGAACTCACTCTTACATTACGGAACTCACATTTAAATGAGAATAACTTATGATTATATTGTTTTGTGTGGCACATATATTCTTTTGGCCTAGTGGTGTATGCGTATCTAAGTCACCCGACTGTTCTATTTGTAGCAAATAAAGAATACTCAATGATCTTTATTTAATTTCGCAACTTTGTAGCAGTGTTTTACTTTTGATTCCTGGCAGTTAGAGATACTATTCAGTTTTTAAAGTAAAATCTGATTTCTGGTAGTTATCAACTCTGAAAATTATTGTCTTTCCTACATTTTTAGAAAATAAACTTTGTTATTTCATACATGTTTAAATCAGGATAAAGCTCATTCGTATTTCTCTTTTGTATCTATAATTTGAATATTTCTCTACGCTTCACTAAAACATGCTTTATGAACTAATGGTGAAAATTTGTAGCTAGGGTCGATATTTTGGCGTCTTTATGTTCTGTGAGCTTTCATCGTCCTTCTAGAAAAGTGAAGTGAGCCTTGAGAGGATCTATGAGTGAAGTAACCACCTTTTCTGATGACTTTAAATGTAACTAGTTGTCTCCGGCATTTCTCCTATAATTGCTTCCACCTGTTTTGATGTTTGTTCTTGCCATCGTGTTTTGTCTAGAAGGACAATAAAAGCTGGACAGTTAAATCGTCCAGGTGACAAAAACAACAATACCAAACGTACACTATGTCTTACTCTTTATTTTACATTTCTTGATCACGACCTTAATGGCTTTAACTTAAATACGATATTTTGTACGTGTCATTTATCACGTAATCTATCAAAGTAAAAATCGGTAACTATCACCTGTTAAGTTCTAGGTGAGACAAACAGATCACTTGATATTATGAAAATCTACAGACTGAGATAATATGAAACTTTGTTCTTTACATTATAAGTCTGTTAATATTAATCCACTGAAGATTTTAGTAAGTTCGAGTTTCAGTTTTCTGGATTGAGTTATTGTGAGCGCAGTCAATCTGGGTCTTCGGCCCCTGGTCAGTAGATTTCGGGTCCATGTTCTGCTTCTATTATTTTAGCCTAGGTGACCATTTAGTGGTACTGTTAGCTGTCAAACAAGTAGTAAGGCTTTTAGCTTGGTATTTGAAGAAGTTTGTCACTAGATAATTGTGTTTCCAAATCATTAGAAAAACAACTAGTTCACGCGTGTGATCTTGTCCTGGATGATTGATGTTGAGAGCGACCAACTACTCATGTTAAGAAGTGGAGTGTCTCATGCCTTAGCTAGCTAGATATTTGTACTGCTTACATCTTAACAATTTGAGTAATTATCTTCTTTTTCCATTTGTTCATTTGTAGCAAGCAAAATAAAAAAAACGGAGGAGATTTATATAGTTATCGTTGAAATCTAACACCCAATGTCTGTGAGCCGATATCAAAATGATGTCTACGAATCATCATCATCGCCTGTTCTTTCATCAACGGATGATCAGTGCTCTTTAATTGATGAGGGTTATTGGCATGATAATGGTATGTTTAGTTGTTTTAATAACTCGAAATATTTTTGACATTAAAAACTTTTTTCAAGTGTTAGTTTGTAGGGATTTGATTGATTTTTTTTACAGGATTTCATCATGAGCTGACATTGGTTAGAGAACCATTGGAAAACCTCGGAGTACTGGACGGCTGTTTCGTCAGACTAGTTTGGAACTCTTCAGCAGTACGCACCCACAACCAGGGTTCGAACCCAGGACCTTCTGGTTACAAGGCTAGCGAGCTCGTAGACCATTAAGCCACTGGGACCCGACCCAATGGCCCATGAATTCTAACTTCTGCCAATTCACGAAATAGCGCGATCGCTGACCAATGTCTTCGGCGAGTATTTGTCCTCACACCCGACCTATTGCACTCTGCTGGTCACGACTTCCCACTAGAACCCCAGGTAACTACTTACCTGAATGAGCAAGTCGCCAGTGAGCATCTCATCGATATTCAAGTGATGGTTTGTAGGGATTTGATTGATTTATTACAGGATTTCATCATGAGCTGACATTGGACGAAACAGCTGTCCAGTACTCCCAGGTTTTCCAGTGGTTCTCTAACCAATGTCAGCTCATAATGAAATCCTGTAACAAAAACGTTTTTTTTCCAAGATTTCTCGCCAAAAGGTTCTTTAGCAGTTTCATTTTATCATTAAAGTGCTGTCAACTTGTGGTGAGTAACACAGCTGAATACTGTGTTTGTAAATTCTGTCTGTGGAAGATGATAACTACCAGTCTAATTAAGCATATAATAATAATAACAAAACTTCAAAATAAACTCCGTGTTAATGAGTAGTAATCAGAGCAAAACACATTCTTGAAAAGTTTTGACTTGTATGTGACATTATTCTGGTACCTTGATACTATTTAGGCATGCAATTTGACCTTTTACTTATCATTCTGCTGTTTAACCTCTCTTATCGACCTTTCATAACGATACATTAATAAATTTCGCTAGCTTTTTCCGAAATACTTGGCATGTGGCAGTTTATTGGACAAGTTTTGAGTTCATTAGAGGACAAACTAGATGCTTCTGCTTGTTATATGTGACGAGAAGGCAGAACGTATCAGATTTATACATTTGATAAAAGATATCACGGTATTTAAATGTGGTTGTCACGCTAATCAGAGAGAGGAATGTAGCTGACGAAACTACCAGTGGGGAAAAAGGAGATGAGTGTTTCTGAAGGCACATAGATTATGGTAGGGTTTACTTCACTAGGTCACTATGTTAAATTGAGTCCATTTTCGCTCACTTACAGCCAAATATCTGTATGTCTCTAGCCCGATTGATGGCTGCTACACTGACATGGCAGTTGGGCTTATCTTAGTGACCCAGTGATATACACACCATGTAAAATCGATGTTCCTGTAAGTTCTACCATACTACAAAGATTGTTTGGATAGCGGTTAGAGTAAAAGCCGCTCTCATTATGGTGTAAGTCGTCTACACAATGCTACAGGTCTGAGGGAAAAGTCGTACTGCTTACTAATAGGGGTGTTAATGACACTAAGATGTTTTCCTTGAACAATCAGAGAAACAACTGCTATGCTGCTTCGCTGCTTTAGGAAACGGGATGTTAGTAGCGGTCTACTCCGGAAATTGTACATCCCTACTTGCCTTAAAGTGATCCGTAGCCCCTCCGAACAGGTCGTGTAACCTGCTCCAGGCAGTTTTCCCTTGTGCCATTCGGTCACCCAATACTGATACTCTTTCTACTTTAGGTGTCTCTTTTCTGTACATTTCTCTAACACAAAAGTCTTTCAAGTATTGGTTTTGTAGGGATTTTGTGAGATTGCATGGAGGATTTCATCATGAGCTGACATCAGTTAGAGAACCACTGGAAAACCTGTGAGTACTGGACAGCTGTTTCGTCCTAGTTTGGGACTCTTCATCAGTAGTGGGTGCGTACTGCTGAAGAGTCACAAAAGTCTTTCACTACTTTCTGCTTCACTGAGCCATGGAAATACCAGAAGACAAAGACTGGAACAGTAAGGATAACTTTGTATGACAAAAATACACTATATATATATATATATATTTTTATATAATTATATATATATATACATATAAATTCGTGTTAGGTTACCAATGAAGCAATTTAATCTCATGCAGTGCGTGAGACCGAAGATTGTTCAATAAAATTATCATATGCATATAACAACAAAAATATGAATTTGAAACACTAAATCTCCTAAATCAGTAGCCAGTCGCTTCAAATGTTGATTCCAATGTCAGCTTCTTCCTATCAAAAACCATTCGTTATTGGAGCATAATAACAGTAATAATACTTCCGTCCCAGTGTCTGTACGTCCTGGGTCCGATCCCTAGTGGGGTCACAAGTGCGTATTTCTGAAGAGTCCCAGTCAAGGACGAAACATATGTGCAGTAATTTCTGGTTTTGAGTGTTCACCTAAATGAAGTCAATTCGTGATCAAGCTTGAAATATGGTATCACTCGATATTCGCTGACACTGTACCCCCTGTATTATAAATATGACGCGGACAGTGATTGTAAATCCTGTTGTGAGCTGATCATTTATAGATTACTCTGTGAACCAATGGATTATTGGATTACAGGCTTACTTCACCTAGATTAGTTTTTTGCAAAAAATATATCAACCTAAGCTTTCACATGCACGCATATACAGGGCCCTTTGTGTGTGACTGAAAGCCTAGTACAAAACTTATCATCGATTGCAAGCTTTAAATTAGATTTGATTAGTTTAGATTACTGCCTTCGCTCCATATTGAAGGTCAAATGGCTAGCCAGAAAGAATTAGAGACAAGAAACTCTGCCACTGAAAGAACCAACCAAGAAACTATTGCTCAACAAGTATGTAGAAGAAAACGGAGATGGTTTGGGTACACGCTGAGGAAATTGTAGTGTGACATCGCACGCCAGGCCATCGGTCGAGTTGGGCTTGGGTCCGAGGATAACATGGAGGAGATCGTGTTGTGAGGAGGAGATGACAGACTATGGGAAATCGTGGGGTCATCTGAAGAGGACCGCAGACAATAGGATAACGTTCCATTGAAGCTGTATCTTCCACTCAGAACCCAAGGGAACAATATTAATAATAATAAGTTTGGATTAAGTCTTCGCCGACCATGTACATGGTCCGGGGTTCAATCCTCGGCCGACGCACTCCTTTACCTCGCTAAGCCACAAATAATACTGGTGAAGAGGAAAGTTTGGGCATGAGGCTAGCAACCCCATCCTGTAAAAATTGAACACTGCTACAGAAACTTCAAGCCACTAGCTTGAAGCTCTATGTCCCACTGGGGAACGTGAAGGAAAAAAAGTCTTTGTTCTGGATTTGGTGTTTTCCTCTCGGATAATCACTATCATTATTCCAAAAGAAGTGACTTTTATTTAGCTTAATCTCGTCATGATAGAAATTTTTATTATACGAATAAGCAAACTGATGGTAATAGTCTTGGATGGACAGACTGCTGTTAATGTGGTGAGTGATGACTGGTGGTGTAATGAGAATCACAGTCACAACAGAATCCATCAAGTCAGCTGCCTCCGAATCACTAGTATGGCGTTGTACCAGCTGGGACATAAGACCCAGCTGCTAACCATCTATCTCATCACTGAAATCATCACGGGTAATGATGCATGGCTGTCATTTGAATGGATGATATGTTACTGGCCGTTTAACATCCACACACAAGAACCATCCCAGGTGAGTCTTTTATTGTCAATCTCGAATTCAACATAAGTGGAGAAGGTTGTTAACTGATGGTGAGACAGCCTCGTAAATTCTTATTTATATAGTAAAATATACCTTACTGTTTGCTGTGTATTGCCTATTTTTATGTGATTTATTTATGTTGATGACATTTTAGATTTGGTGTTGGCTGCTGAATTGGGCAAAGCTCTACTGGACAGAAATCGTAAACTTGAATTAGCTTTAGAAAAGTCAAAATTTGTTGAACGTGAAAAAAGTGCTGAAATTGAGGTTAGTTTTACGTGTGTCTGTGTTTTTGTGTTTTCACTCATCATGTCAGTAATAGATTCGAATGTCGTATTTACTTTTATTGTGTGTGGTTAGCAAGTGGACTGTGTAATGCAATTGGCTAGAAGCTGTGAACCTAGGTGTGTTGTACTTATTGACCGTTGTCAACAAGACTTATATAAATCCCAGAAGGAACTAACACCCATCTAGGGATTAAAGCTCACCTGACCCCACTGCTGCAGTCAGAGGTTTTACCACTGAATTCAAATAGCTCTGAAGAGACACCAGTTCTTCCATGGTTGCGGTGAATAGGCGTGAAACCTAGACTTTCTATCGACTGCCGCCTACTGCCTAACATTGATTTCATGGTGCACCACGATGATGAGTTACCCTAAGTTTGGTGACCACATTGCAAAATTTGTGCATAGGATTCAGTCCATACCAACACTGAGGACTGGCCGTATGACACTGGTTGCTGTCTAATTACTTGACTTCTAAATGTTTCATCGCCATCAGTGTGTATTTAATGTCTGGGGAAACCAGTCTTCAGTCAAACTGATGCTCACTAGTGACTGGCTATTTTACAGGTAGGTAGCTACCTGGGTTCCTGTGGGAGGTCGTGACCAGTAGATTACAGCAGGTCGTGTGTGAGGACAAATAATCGCCAGCGATGACACTGTCTAGTGGTCGCGCTAAAATCAAGAATCGGTAGAAGTTAGAATTCATGGGCCATTGACTCGGGTCACAGTAGCTTAATGGTCTAAGAGCTTTCCTTGTAACTGGAAGGTCCTGGGTTCGAACCCTAGTGGGGTAGGGTTCATACTCGAGTACCGATTTTCCAATGGTTCTCTAACCGATGTCAGGTCATGATGAAATCCTGTAAACATTTTTAGTTATCATAACTGAATACATCAGTTAGAGAACCATTGGAAAACCTGGGTGTGCAACAGGTTGAAAGTGAGGCAGTAACTCATGGAAAAAGACATTGCAAAGTTGTCGCGCTATGTCATGAATTGGAAGAAGTTAGTATTCGTGGGTTTGCCATTGGATCGGGTCCCAGTGGCTTAACGGTCTACGAGCTCACCTTGTTATCAGAGGGTTCCGGGTTCGAACCCCACTTGGTGGGTGCGTACTGATGAAGAGTCCCAAAGAAGGACGAAATGGTTGTCCAGTACTCCTAGGTTTTCCAATGGTTCTCTAACCGATGTCAGCTCATGACGAAATCCTCCAACCAATCAATCGAAATGCCTACAAAAACCAATCTTTTTTTGTTACAGGATTTTTTATTTATGTCTGATACTTTATTTATATGCATGTCCGTCTTAAATTTTCATCTACTCTATACTTTGATGACTCATATCAGTATAAAATATTAGTGTCATTTGTGTTCTTGCTTTGCTTTGCTTTACTCAGCTTTACATATGTGACTCTTTTTGCTGACTCATGTTGCACTTAGCCTGTCTCTGTGACATATCGTTAGGATGTTTTGTTTGTTTTCTGTCTCGAGGATTGATAAGAACAAAGATATTATTGTTATAATAACTATTTTCTCTTACCGTCTGCACGTCTAAATGTTTTAGGTTATCCATGTGATGTACAGCTTAAAGTGGATTGTTATGGTGTGTATTTAGTAACACAGTCCATCTTGACGTAAACTGGTTTATTGTGTGTGTCTTTGTTCAGTGTGTCCCCTCTCCTCTTACTTCGATTGTTTTTTATAACCTTTATGGTACTCAGCTGGTTAGAGCTCAGTTATCTGGATGAAATTCTGTGTAAGCTGATGATACTACGAATACTAGTTAACCAGCCTAATGCAAGTGTCACGGGACTCGAACTCGGGACCCATTTGGATTCAAAAGCCTAGCAGCTACATCTCCACTAGTGTTTTCATCATCAAGTTACCTCCCTTTCCTTGACTTGTATCCTAATACAATATCGTGCGCCTATATGCGTGTGGTTATGACACATACGGTCTTATATCTCTTTTGAAAATTATTAATTCACAAAATAATTGAGCAAAGAATATCCTTTTCGACAATTTTCTCTTCTGGCTGTACAATTATATACATATGTTTATGTACATAGAATATTCTAGAATAGTAGTCAATGACAATATTAGTGTATTTTAAATAATATCGATTTGTAAAGTAATATCACAATGGAATTTACAGTTCATTAAAGATGCTTAAATAATTATAATAATAAAAATATATTCGCAAACAGAATATCAACTAAAATTAAGGAAATTTCCACAAAACGTTGAGGATCATTCGAACCTAGATGGCCAAGGTAAGAACAATGTCTGAACTAACTTCTTTTGGATGCACAAATTAGGCTTGTTAATATGGATCCCAACGGCTAGCCTCAGCAATATTTAGTAGTCGAACTTTTAAGGCAAAATTGAGATTTGTTGGTATGTGGTAAATGACTTTGGAAGCAGCCTCGTTGACATCAGTCTTGTCTTCTGTACCCACAAGATGGGATAGAACAGTTCCGCGAATAGATTTTGCTTGTCCTTTACTTAACCACACAGGATAATGTTCGGAAATTCGACGAGAAACACTCCTGATCGTCCGGCCTATGTAACTGGCTCCACAGTAGCAGTCAAATTGGTAGATACACATGGAAGAGGAGAAATTAGGCAGTTTATCTTTTACTCCCGGACGCAAAAGAGGAGTAGTTTTGAAGACACAGCGTAATTCGGCAGCAGGGAATGCATTTCTAAGGCATTGTGTTAGTATCTCGCTGATGTTGTCCCCAAGGAACTGCATTTGTAAGAATAAAGCCTTTTTAGGAACTGTTGGTACCTTGAGCTGCTTTGATTTTAGATTCATATTCTTATCAATAAACTTTTCTAGATAACCATTTTCATTTGGTAAGTATTTATTAATTCCTTATCTGAATTATGTTATGGTATGGTTAATTGGCTTAAACACTCAATTTTCAGTCAACTGGTCCAACGTTCGAATCCTGTTTCGTCTAGTACAAACTTGGCAGATAATAGATATTGTCGTAAGATCTCACAATACTATACTATATACTACTGATTGATTGAAATGAGTAGTTGCATGTTACTCACATCAGCCAGTGGTGCTTGGTAGCTGGCTAGCCAGATCGAGGTGGTCTAAACACCGTGGTATGCAACTACTCACCTCAATCGATCAGTAGTACATAGCTTTATGCAAATATGCTTGCTTTCTTGATTACCATTTATGGTATCACAAACAGATCAAATATGCGTCGGTGGTCCAGCGGTAGAGCGCTCGCCAATCACGCGAATGGCCCGAGGTTCGACCCTCAGCCAGCACTCTACTAAACTTCTCTAAGCTTGTAGTGTGGTGAGAGCTGGCTGCTAGCCAAATTGGTAGACATTAATTTACGTCAATGTTTATGTCCCAAATATTGGTCGTGAGAAAAATAAGAGCAAAAACTGTGCGTAGGTGGATACAGTTAGCAGATAGCTGATCTGACATTCAAGGAACAGCCACAAAGAGATGAAAGAATTACTTTCAGTGAGAAACAACCAATCAGAAGACTGTGTTTTTCTGCTAAAAATAATCTATAATAATGTACATGAAAATCTATAAATATGTGTTGATTTCCTTAATAAACGATCTGTTACCTGGTCCTTGTCTTCTGTTGTTACAGTAGTATGTTCGGTGAAGAGCGAAGGTTGAGCATGAGGCTAGCAACTCCACCCCGTGAAAACACAGAACCACTGCTACCGAAGCTTAAAACATTCTAGCTTGAAGTTTCTGTAGTAGTGGTATTTATTTTTTACTGGATGGAGTTGCTAGCATCATGCCCAACCTTGGCCTCTTTACCAGTCTTATTACTGGCCTAGCAAGGTTAAGGAGTGCGTCGGCCGGAATTCGAACCGCAAACCACATGTGGCATGGTTGGCGAGCATTCTATCCCTGTGCCACCGACGCACCACTGGGAACGTAGAGGAATAAAATAAAATAAATAAATAAATAATAAAACAGATCATATGTTGTGGTGATCTAAACAAGTTGGTTTCCAAAAGAAACTAGGGTGAAATTCCAGCTCCTAGAACTGTGTAGATTGCAACTTGTAAATTTGATCTCACACACAATAAGCTTGATTCATAAACGGAAGGTGGAAAAATGATGTCCTGGCTAAATGTTCTATTTTTCCGGAATATATATTGTAGAAGTGGTAGAAAATTCTCTCAGGTGGACCACCTGGGGTATCATGTCAAATTACTGCCTCTTTTCCGTTAACTATCCTTGAATTTTGTGAATTCTTCCAGAAAAAAAGAAACCAGGATTACTTACAGCTCCCATAATAAACCAAAAAAATGGTTATTTTGTGTTATCATTTGGTACGCATAAAATTCACTCATATGAATTAAGTAGAACTAAAAAAGAAATCTAGTTTCTAGTAGCTTGGTCGGTTGTTCGCTAAGCTGACAATCCAGATGCTAGTGGTTCGAGTCCTGCCGTGACCTAAGTTTTCATTTTGCCTTTTCAACACCGCTTACTATTTAATGATATTAGATAGTTGGAGGCAATCGGCAGGAAGCCTTGGACCTAAGTTTTGTGCTAGTTGGCACTCGTCAGTAAGGCATATCTGCAACCTTGAAGGAACTCATGTCCCTTCCTGACTGATAGAATTCAGTCTGCACCAAAGAAAGGACTAGACACGTCACACTAGTTACTAGTGTCCAATGAAAATACCGCCTACTACTATGATTATTATTAAACTAGTAGAATGGTAAACGAAATCATTGGAGAACTAATAGTTTATGGTTTAGAAATGGTTAATTACATGACACTAGTCCATAAAGTAATTGATATGCTCGAGTTTCGTAGTTCAGATGGTAGAATTTAGTAATCTCGAGGTTTCAAATTGCTTACTACGCCCCAAAATTTCTATTTCACCTTCATTCATTACTCATTGCAATGATAGGAAGCTCGCCAACCAACTCACGTGGTCTCAGTTTGATTTCCGGCCGACAAATTCCCAAAGATTGTTTAATC